TTAGGCGACTCACTTCGATATCGGCCAACAAGCCCGGGTCCCACTCTGCCGGGAAGAGTCGGGGTTTCCATATTGGCTCGCGCAATTGCGGATCATCCATGCATGTAATACGGCGAGCGTCGTGTATAGACAGACGGCAGAGAGAGGGGCGTCGGTCAAGTAAAAGACCGACTTCTTGCTTCCTGTTGATGGCCAAGGACAGGGCTAATGGCGTGCAGGTATGTGAAGTGGTGAAGCATCGCACTTCTGCAACGGACCGCCCTGCATCCAGGGGCTCGAGTGGCCAAGCAGAAAGAATGCTGCCTCGCCGGGCCTCGTCCTCCCTGCCCATGGGGTCCCGGCGACGCAAGGCACGCACGCACCCGCTCCGAGGGCGCGCCCAGATGTTATTTGCAGCAGGGCCCATCTCATCTAGATGCAGGGCGTCGTCTGTGCCGCCCACTCGCCGGCAAAGTATTTTCGTCACTGCCTGGCTGGGCTTTGGCGAATCGGCAGTTGAATGGCTGCCTGCCTGGCCGATGCATCTCGCACGATGCCATGTATCATGGGACAGCCAGGGCGTTGCTTTGCTCCCTCTTTGCCGCCCCAAGCGACGCCCCTTCGAAGACATGACCATCTATGCACACAAACAGGTCGACGCTCGGGGCAACATGCAGCGTGTAGTTTAATTGGTCTGAACCCGACGGCGGGCCGGGGACCACCCAATCAACGACCCCAGCCGGACTCCGGGGTTCGGGATGCCGCCGGGTGGGCTGGGGCCAAAGCCCGGAGGGCGCCGCTAGCACTGGATTGTCATTACACAGTCCACCCCCCTCCCCCTCTTTTCCCCCGCGCCCCGTCGTTGGCACATCATCCACAGCAAGTCGAGTTCGCCGAATGCTTTAGGGTAGGTGGCGAGTAACGAAGGACACTAACTATGTATGTATCTCAGCCCAGGCATGCTGAGTGTGTATGTATGCCGGCCGGGGGCGCAAGATGCGGGGACACTGTCGAGTGTCGTCTCGAGGAGGGGAGGCCACGAGGTGAACCTGCATTCAGCGCCGTCGCATCGGCCGAGAGAGCCGCCTGCTGCTGTACCGACGAGTCCGACGCTTGGCAGCCTCGGCCAAGATCTCGACCTTGGGAGGCTGTGCGGCGGCGGCGGCTCCGCGCCTTGGTCCAACTTGTCCAGCCTATTTCTGGCGGCTCCAAGATGCGTCCCGGAAAGGGGGGACGATGTCTTGGGCAGCAGGGGGGGGGGGGGCAACCTGGTCCGGACGTGTCTCGCTCGTCCTCTCACACACACACTCACACACACACACACACCTACAGTACTTTTCTCGCACGCAAATCTCCACGCCCTCCCCCCTCCAGAGTTCATGTACCCGGGGGAAGGGAGGAGGCCGGTCAATAAAGAAAGCAGCGTCAGCGTCTAGTATCAAGGCCAACCCTGTTGTTGATCGCCGCGGGGGCAATTTTCCCTCGTCTCTGCCGACCTTGACCTCGCGAGCCCCACTCCCCCTTTCAGGCAGCCAAGTGCTTTCGCCGGACGACATGGGAGAGCCCGGGCCCGGGTGACGACCGAGCCTTCCGGCCAGACGGAGAGTGTTGCTCACTCGCCTGCGCACGAGTGGCCCCCGGTGGGAGCCTGAGGAATCGGGCCGCAGCTCCCGCAGCGCCGCCGCCGCCTCGGCCGGACATATTACCACAACGAGAAGGATGACCCCGTGAGCCCCGTCGTCCACGTGCGTTGCCACCTTTTACCTTTTTTTTTCCATTTTTTTTTTCATGTATGTACAGCATGTATTCATTCCGGGCCCACGGACTAGGGGGGTAGGGGGGCGTGGGGAGTGTGGCAGAGAATGTGAGAGAGAGAGCAGCAGCTATCCTGCCTCGTGGGCAGCTTGGCAGAGAGGGCGGGCATGTAAGACGTGGATGCTGATGCTCAAACGCAGAAAGCTGTGCGAACCATGTTCATGCCGTGCCTGCCGCATATTGGTGTGAGGGCTCGATTCCGACGCGCACACATACACATGAGACGGACATAAACGGGTTTGTCCTGTACACCCTCTTATTATCCCACACTGAACGCCCGAGCCCCCGCTGGTTCCGCGTCAGCCTAATTTGCCCCGTTGTTGGCCCCAAGTCATGGCCAGAGAAGGTGATGAACGAGTGTTGAGTTGACGCGATTTACACCCAAGGACGGCCGGTGTCGCGGGCAATCAGTACGCCGTCGTGCGACGCCCCGCGAACTTGGCGGGGATTGAGCCTCCGGGAAAAGCTGACACGGACATGGTCTCACGAGGCTACTGTGTGATGGCGTTGACAGCTCAGCGACACGCCGGCCCGGCCTAGGTAGTAGGTCTGACGCCGCCCACATCCGCGGACGACTGAATGCCCCATGGATGCGTGCTGTGCACTTCCATGACAGCAAAACACGAGGCGCTTGCTTTGGGCGAAGAAGACATATGACATGTCAGCCGGGGCTATGGAGATATAGGCAGTTGAGAGGCACTTTGGAGCATAGCGGCATGCCTTGCCCAGCCCTACGGCCGGGCCCCAAAGAAAACAGGGCTGAGAGTCTGGGACGGGGAAAGGACCAGAAAAAGGAAAAGCGCCCAGGGCAGGCGGCGGACAGGGAGGGTGTGCCACCATTTCCAGGTGACGAGTGCGGAATAAGCACCTCGTTTTGTGACGGGACGCCGGAAATCTTTCCACACTGACGAAAAAAACAAAACATGAGGCGGCGCGGAAGAGGCGTGGCTTTGTGCGGCTGACTCTCGAGACTATGGATGTGCAAGCCCGCGCCGTTTCTGCGAGTCGACGACGGGAGGGAGGAAAACATGGCGGTGAGATCCTGCAGATCGCCCGGACCTCTGCATCGGCCATCCCTCACCTATCGGCGAGGGCGGGTCCTGACGCATACGAGCGCGCCCTTTTTCATTGTCCTTGCCTCCATGTACAATGCCACGTATTTACGGGTTCTCGAGCCTTTCCTTGTCCGGAGCCGATACACGAGACAAATGAAGGGGCTGGAGGAACTCCCCCCTTTATTAAGCTTGTATATCCAGCCTTGTCCATTCCTTTTGCCGGCTATAGGAGCGAAGGCTCCCCTTTCGGAGAGGGGCATATCGAGAGACAGGTCTCGGACGACCTCTCCAGGGTGAGTCGTCCTGGGGTCTGCCACAGTTGGAGCTACTTACTGACTAGTTGTCGTGTCAAGGAAATCTGCGACAGACGATTCATGGTTGAAAACAGCCCAGTCGAACCGCAGGAATAGAACGCCAAGGGTGTCGTACACGTATACAGTAAGCGCCCTCTGCCCCGTCTGTTTCTCGCACATTGTCTTGTACTAGGAGTCATGTTTTCGAAAGGCGCGAGGTTGCTTGGACGCTAAAAGTATCAATATAGGCTCCCCGTCCGTTTACTTGGTGGTGGAGGATGGAACGGAATAGATTCACGCCTTGGTCAGGGCGTAGATTCACACGTGGATGGGGCATGCTTGCATATATCTGATACCTGTCTGACAGGCGTGAGTATGCCGTGCGGCGGAACATGAGCGGTTGCAGAATTGAACACCGGTGTCTGTGTCTCTTATTCAGGACCAACTTGACCAGCCTGAGGCGGGATTTTATTTGCTACTTATGAGTAACTAGGCCGAGCCTCTCTCGCGCCCTCTCTCTTTGCTTCGTGTCTCTCCACACTTGCATTCGCACCCTCCCCCTCGTCCAGATTTCTTAGGGCAGGCCATGTGCCGTCCGCCATTGCAAGACGCGATATTACCTGGACCGGGGGGGGGTGGGGGGGTTGTTTTTGGTTCAGTGTGCCCGGTCAAAGACCCAACATTGGCAGCCTGGCAATAGCCCTACTTCCGGAACACGCTTCGTACACAAGGAGGACAAAGCCCGTATCTCCAAGCGGGAGGTTTCGTTCCTGTGTGTGTGCAGTCATAGTCGGGAGGTTGTTCCGAGCGTCTTCCCTCCCCTGCTTTACTTCACCGGCGGCGACATCGCGGGCCGATTCAAAAGCACAAGGGTGGGTTGGTGTTGGACAGGCAGCAAAGTACTTGCTCTTCCATCATGACATGGTCTTTGCATGTCTGGTTGGGTTTTTTTTTTCAAAGCGCCCCGGCATGGCTCGGCTGGAACTGCAGAAATATTCATGCGGCGGTAGGTTTTGTGCAGATCAGGCAGCCGCGGCGATGTAACCGCATGGATCTTTGTCAAAGCAAGCCGGCAAGTTCGAATCGCCACCCGCCCGATTGTGCCTGTTGTACGGGTACCAAAGCAATGATTTTGCGTGGTTGAGGGATAAGGGGGAGGGAGGTTGGTCAGGAATGGAAATTTTCCAGAAGGCGCCGAGAAGAGTTCTAGAAGCTGCTGCTGTGCCGCCTAACGCCATTGCAGGTGGCCCAATCAGGAACAGGGAGGGGAGGGGTGTGGCTGGCGGAGAGGGCTGTACCCTAGACCTCGTCCCTTGTACTCCATATAGTCACTGCCAAGAGGCACCAATATTCTCGAGTCCATATCGCCACCCCTCTACTCTCTCCTCTCTCCCACCAAAGATCGACGACAGCGGACAAGATGCCGACACTATTGAGCAAGAACACCCTCGGTCTCACCAGCCCGTCAAATCTCTCAGCCCTCTTTCTTCCACTGCACGGCTGCTGACATGGGGCCCCTCCCTTTCCAGCTTGACAGCACTGCCTTGCTTTGCAGAGGGTTGCACTCTGCTCGCCACTGCCACCGTCTGGTTGGACGGCTCATCATGGGCCCCCCGTTGGCCGCGATGCTGCACCAAGCCTTTTGCAAGGGCAGCCCAGCTTGATTCGGCACGACAAAACGAGCGCCTCGTTGGTGGTATCCTGGTGCTGCGTTGCGGCAGTTGGTTCGAGCCAAGTTTCTCCCACCCCCTTTTCCCGCTCGGCATGCCTTCCCCATGGGACCACGAGAGCGGCCGACGTGGTTGAGCATCGGGTTGGTTGCGGTCAAAGATTGGTTACTCGGCTGAATCCTTCTCGCATGCGCGCCCTTGCACACCGCACTGTACCGTACCTCATGTACGGCCCGCAGCTTGACAGTGCCATCGTTGGCTGCGACGGGGATACGGAACCGATCGAGAAGGAAAGGGCCCTCATCATCATCGCCCGGCATAGGCGAGCACGGACATTGCCCGACGGCTACCCTCTGGCGCTCCCGCTACGCCATTGCGCCGAGCAGGAAAAGAGCAGCCTTGTCACAGGGGACGCCCCGACTACAGTACACACGGCCGCTCAAGTCTCCTCGGTCCGTGGCTGTCGAGAGCACAAGGGGAGCACCGGATCTCGCGGGGCCATCTCCCTCTCCCTGTATCCGCCTCCCAACAACACCGGCCAGCTGCACGAGATCGGTGTTGGCCCCAAGCGAGACTCGGCTAACCAACCCTACGACCCATCTGCGGCCTCGGTTGCCCATGTGTGCTGCGACCCGCGGCAGTTTGCCGTATCTCGCTCCTTGGCCACGCCTTTGCAACAGGCAGCATGAGATCATGTCCTTGCGCACAAGGCGAGAAATGGCGAGAGCTCCACGTACGATACTGCACCTCCATGTGCGTTGGCAATGCAACTACTTGGCTGCGACCCCCCTTGCGTACTTGGTCCTCTCTGCTCGGATGAATTCGAGCGAATCACCGCGGATCCATGACACCTCTCTTTTCCTTGAGCATGATGCGTATCTACTGTACATTGGGGGGGAAGCATGCTTGCGCAGATACACCGTGCATGGCATGCAACAAACATGAACCCATCCTTGGGTACCTACGCGTTGGCCTGGCAGGGCTAGCGTGCATCTGTGATCCTACATGCGCCCGCCGCGGCCTCGGTCCCCCATTGGCCTTGGATATGCGCAAGGTTGCGGCGAGATGAGCACACAGCCAACAGGGCTGGCCATGCTTGACGCTGCAGGAATCAAGCCCCCCCCCTGTTCTGTTCGGCCAACGCCGAGGCGGCCCTCTTCCACTCGCAAGAGAAGCAGTGCTAAAATGAGCCAAGTTCGTGCCATGGCATGGACCGCAGTCGGCGTCGTTGCCACCTCGGAGAGACTTGGCCGTCATGTTGCCTCGATGTCTTGGTATCCTGACTCAGGTTGCAGATTTCGGAGTAAAGCCTCGCTCCAGTACTGCACTGCCCTGCGCGTTATCGAGCTCCGGACCGGACGGTACTCGACCGCTCAAGTCAGGCCAGTGTGGCGCTCCAGCGCCCACACACGTCGAGTGTCCGTGTCGTCGCCTCTACCCCCCTTCCCCTTGCCTCTCTCGTTGCTGGATGCATGGGCTGGCAGACGCCGGTGGGTGGCTCAAGATGCTTCCCTCCGTCTCGAGCCGAGCCAGCACGCACTTGAATGGCAGAGGCCAGAAGAGTACGGTGCGTATGCCGTCCTACACACTCGTGGCTCTGACGGCAACGGGGGGGTATGGTGCCACCCCCCCCGTTACCGTCGGTGGCAGCCGGCAAAGAACCGTCTTGGCCGCCTCGCCCGGGCTTCATGGACAACCTGCTCCTGATCGTGGGCCGGGGGTGTGTGACCACAGATGGGAGAAAAAGGGGGAAAGGGCGCCGCGGCGGCTCTCGTACGTACGGGACCCCCAGCCATGACACTTTGGTGCATATAGGGCTGCAGTGCAACCTGGCTGCCGACTTCGCTCCGCGTTCCATGTAACTGCAGCATGTCCGGTGCAACGCAAATCCAGCCCTGCCTTTTTCTGTCCCTTTGCCCCCCGTACCCTCCCATGCCATTGCCTTGCTTGCCTTGCCGCGCGAGTTGCAGCCAGAGACATTCTGTCTCTGATGTCTGCCCGCAGGTCATCCTTTTGTTTTGCCTGTTTGTGTGGCTGGCCTTGAGAGGTTGATGGATATGGATGGCCCTGTTGCCTGCTGCTGGAGAGCAGCTGCATACAACGTTAAGCAAGGACAGACTGTTGCGACCAGCCGCAATCCTTCCCAGCAATCTTTTCTTCACCAGACACCCCCTCCCTTGGGCTCAAAGTCCAAAGCCAGCCCTGGACCAGCGAGAGCGATGCATATGGGCCGTCTATTTACAACGCAGCACTGTATGCACGGTACTATGTTATAACGATCGTATGCATGTAACCCCCCCAAGAGGGGAGCGGGGAGGGAGGAAACGTCCCCAGCATTTCGCATCGTGGGCCTTGGCTAGACACGCCAGTCTTCAAGTTCCCCGGTTATCGCAACCCCTTCTTCTCTCACGCTCCCTTCCCTCCCCCACGAACAGGAAAGCAAAGCCGTGTGAGAAACTTGCCAGGGTCGATCGAAGTCAGACACGTCTGAGGCGTCTGCGTCTCATGAAGTATCTTGCAGTGGTCTGTACAGTGCCGGAGAGAGTGATAATGCCAAGCATGATTTCCGCCAACTTCCCATGTTGGTTCGCGGACTTCATGAGCCTCTCAGCTCTGTTGATCACGCGGAAAAGTGTTTGCATCCCCAATCGCGAGGACTCGACCCAACACGCCTTGCTTCCTCGGCTTGGGGCCCTTGCGTTCCCCCTCCCCCGCCCCCTTCCCCTGCCTCCTAGTTACAGTAGCCGCCGGCTCACTCATCAAGTTGACCGAGCTTCTGCCCGGGGGCGGATCCGCCGCTCCCCATGAAACCGAACATGATGGAAGGGGATGAGGGGGTGTGTCTTGTGACGGAGCGGCTCCGTTGACGCGCATGTCCGCGTGTGTATGTATGTGAGCCATCCTGATGGTACTGCAAGCGCGCGCGAGGGCGGCTTTCCGCAGTGGAGACGGCTACGCTCCCGTGGGTAGCGGTTCCTCTCATATCGCCAAAGACTAAAGTCCGGGTCGCGGAAGGGCACGGCGGGGAGGGCTCCGTGGCTGGCCGATAAACTGCCGATCCGTGTTGGGGGCCTTTGGGAGAGATGGGGCATACAACTCTAGGCTTGCCTCGGCTGGGAGAGGTGATGAGGTCACATCACGCTGCTTTGGACTACCGCACATACGGAATACAATAAACTACAATGGTGCGTATGAAGATGCTCCCTTCTCCTACGGACGCCAACGCCCCGCCCCGTTGTTCTGTTGCTCACGTCCCAGGCGGTGCAGCCCATCTGGACCCCCAAGCTGCACCGGCCGCCTGTCGGGCCAGGTTGTTGTACGAAAGGGAGCCGCTCCTTGATGGCCACAACCAGGCTCCAGGAGCGCTTCCAGGGATCACTGGGCCGGCTGGATGGTAAACAGCGCATCGCAAAGGCAGGAACCCACATGCCTTGCCGCCTTGGGCATATGCGCCGGGGGCTTGAACGCATACGGCCGCCACGGCCGACAAGACTCGGGCCCGGCCCCCGTTCTATGGACGAGGCCTGGGATCAATGCCAGGCACCGCGGCCACTCGAACACAGAGCAGCCTGGAGGGCCATGAGTTTGTCCAGTTGAGACGGTTGTCGTTGGTCCTCGGTCTGGGGAAACCCTGAGTGAGGTTGATGCTGTGTGCATTGTGTGCTTCTGCAAGGTTGCCCCCCCCCCCACGGATGATGCCCAGTCGCAAGTTGATTAACCAAGCCTCGCTCCGTGGGGATGAGGAAATGTCGCCAACGTCCCAACAGTGTGGAAGTTAGCGGGAGAGTTGCCACCGCCCTGCCTGGACCGGCGAGCTCGGTTGATGGACGAATGCCCGCATTCGGAGTCTCACGTTAATGACAGCTGATGGCTCATGCCATTCACTCCCTTACAGCAGGGCCTCGTCGTTTCACGACGGGACCAGGGGTCAAGAAAGCTCAAAAGGCCTTTCCTATTTCCACACACGTACCTCGTATTCGAAGAGTAGGATGTCAGGATCTCGTTGGATCAGGCTGCCACCAGGCCCCTCGGAGTTGCGCCATTGCTCGATCCATGCCTTGTTTTTTTCACCGCCACCGAGTTTCATTTCCCGTGGGACCTGTGCAAAAGCGCTCAGTTTCGTCTGACGAGGAGTCGTCGGAGGGGCCCGGCGGCTAGGTGCCGAGTTTGAATCCCCAAGAAGACTTGGGCAGCCGTCGGACGAGCCAAGACCTTGTTTATACGGTGCAACTAGAGACGGCCCAGCTACGACGGACAGGGCCGCTCGAGAACCGTCACTGTTGAGTGCTGATGACATGCTTTCTTCGTTTGGGGCCAACCTGTCCCTGGCTTGTGTGGCCTCTTTGCCGTCTGGCGCTCGCAACGTGACCGGGCACCCTTGTCATCGCACCGTAGCGGGCTCGTCCAGCCTGAACGGTCATGGGCTGCAGAAACGTCATCACAGGACGGCTGTTGAGGAACGCGCTTATCAAGAGGAACAAGATCGTCGGTGACGAAGCGTGACGCATTTCTTGAAAGTGTGTCGCGGTGCTTGTCTTGAATGGCAAACGCGGTGTTTCTCTATTCGCAATAATCAAGTTTCCCGAGGCAAAACCAGTTGCAAGTTCTCTTGACTATATGAAGCTTCCCCGTAGATTTCGTGGCTCGTGTCGGATCCGGAAAGCCGTGCGGACCTACGGCTATGGCCTATCTGTTCCGTCCTTATTGGGCTGTTCCTGCTCCGTCGTGGATGCCTTCCGACCGGCGATAGAAGGGTTCGACGAACTCAGAATCTGTCCTCCTGATGTGATATCTGCGAGCATAGCGTCTGCGGCTTCTGGTCTTTTATAGCTCAAACCGTATCGAGTGCTGATGAGCCATGGTCCTCAGGCATGTTTGAGCTCTTCCAGTCCCTCACCTTCGAACTGATTATTCTTCAGACGCGCGTGGTTTCGGAATGGACGCCGAGCGAGCCAAAAGCGACATGCTTCGTGGCCATGCCTCGCAGCTGGCCGGGTGGACCGGGACCCCACGGGTAGCAGCGTCATTGCCCTGTTGCTCGCTCAGAGTGCGGCGAGTGAGCGCAATGATCTGGGCGGTTAGAATCGTGGGCCTGCTGATATCGCCTCGCGCCCATCAAGGGTTTATAAAAGAGTAGCCCGAGTGACGTCTGCACGTGTAGCTCGAGTCGGGGGCGAGCGGCCACTGATGGAAGCCCTCGGCTGGGTCACATGGCTGACTTTCAGGACTAAAACAAGATGCTCAAGGCTTGTTGCTATGGTAAAACTCAGCGTCGATGCTCGCCTTGATCACCGCACTATGCCCCAGCTTTCTTGTCTTTCGAACGTCGGTACAGAACTTTGCGCTGGGCGCCGCCAGCTCCAGGCTGGGTTCTTGGTAAACATTGAGAATCTAGATCTGGGACCATCAGAAGCAAGTAATGGTTCCCGGTTCCGATCCCTGATTCTTGTTGCTTGCACCATCGAGAGCGAACGAACTTATTCTTCTGACACATGCTCTCTCGAAACCAAGGCGCCTTGTCGTCGAGGACTAGCCCATGTATGGGCGGAATGGGTAGGGCATACCTATAGCACGTTCACGACTGCTGCCTTGGGAGATGATAAGCCTGCTATTTGGGTCCATGTAGCGTGGATGCGTGTCCCTTCCTGGAAATGTTCGGAAGTTCGTCCGACGTGCAATGCCAATTGATGGACTCTTGCGTGAGTGATACTACAATGTCAGCAGCAATATCAAGGATCGAGATACACTTCTCTCGTATCTCGTGCTTCTTCTGAAGGCGGCGTTTCGAAGAATCTCCACTCCAACGGTTTGCAGTCAAGAACGAGTCACAGCGCGACACTGAGACATGGCTACCGTACCATACTCGCTGTGGATCACGCCCTGTACGAAACAACGACGAGAATCAACCCGCATGAACCCGAGGAGATACGGCTCGTGAGGGGCGTTTTTAGAATGACACGACCGAAACACTTGTCACGATTTGCCGACCTGATGGAAGCTGCAATGTTCAGTGTGCATGCTGCTTTCGCCCCAGCAAGAGTGTGATTGATCATCTTGAAAAGAGAAAGCTCAAGGGAAGCCATTGTCGTAATTGGGGTCCTGGTCTGGTAGCCACCTCGACCGACCACGGGATAGTATGCTCAAACAAGGAAGCTCATTCGAGGAATCCTTGCTGCGATCGCCCGTAGCGTTCCCCTTGTCGGGTGATTCACTGCGAATAACATAGACGGTAGATGCCAAAGGTGACGCCAAACTCATCGGCCGTTACCGCAATTCCCCCCTGTGAGCCTTACTCGAAAGGTAGATTGAGCGGCGAAGAGTGAATACAGTTGCCTGTCAAGACAAAACGGGTATCACGGAGTTCCGCGTGCCCGTTGGCTCTGCCGGGACGCCTGTCAAGGCTTTGTCACAACGGCATCAATCGTATGGGCAAGATCTAGAAGCAGGCCTCATAAAGGATCAAGATTTTCAACAGGCCTATCTCGCGTGCCCTGAACAGTGCCAGTGAGCGAGCAAGAAAAGCGAGCGCGAAACAGGGAGAAGAAGACGTGACAAAGCCCTGAGCTTGGGCATTGGCTCAGAACCATCTCGAAGAATTGGTGCCAACCGATTCATAGACCCGGGTTTGTCACGGTTGGGAAAAGCCCATCGTGGGTTCTCAGCATGGGAGAGTTGGTCTCGCACAGGCGCGTGCTGTCGCCGTTTCGCTCGGTCAACTGGGAGACTGGATACTCAGACGAGCCGGCGTCAGCATGACCGACAAGCAAGTAGACCAATGACTCTTGCGCTCAAAGCCGGCCTTTCGTTTGACCTTTGGCCTATCGGATCCCGCCGTCAAGGTCGCCGTTGCATTCGGAGGCGCCTGGTGCGATGATGTTGAGTTTCCGGCAAGGTTCCCAAAAGACGACACATATAACCCATGCTGGTAAGATGCATTGCGCTCATCTGGCAAGTTGACAATCAACATCGGACAGAGGTTTTTGGCCAAAGCAATTCGGCGCTTGCCGTGTTTGGGGTGGATGGACAAAGGTGAACGGGGACATGAAAGCCCCTCGACATTAATCCATCCAGTCTCTGATGCGAGATAGATGCGCGATTGCTCGTACTGTAAGAGCGGAAAAGGTAAAGTTTTTCATCCTTGTGGATTTGAACGAAAAGTCCCTGTCGACTCCATATTTGTCGCCAAGAACGATTTTGACTGGGGATGTAAGCTTTAGACAGGCCGAGAGTCAGGAGGATTCAAGACTGAAGAAGCCCGGCTTTTGCTTGAAGCAGCAGCTCGCTTCCGGATGAGTCGCTGCGGTATCCGTAGTGGTGCGGGGATTTCTTGGGGGCGAGGGTTCTTGGCGCTGACGACGACAAGAGCTTTCCGATTGCCAAGCCCGGGTCGACTGGTCGGTCCCTGTCGGCAAGTGCCAGATCAGGCCACGAGCGAAGGGAAGGTGTAAATGTCGACTCGTGGGTGGCAGCGGCTTGTTTAAGAGCACGTGTTGGCTTCGGGGTGCAGCCACGGAAACGAGGCGTCGAGGGAGTGGTTCATGGCATATTACATACAACGACAATGGAAAAGGGACTCTTGGGCGGGGAAATCGACTCACAGGAGCGCAACGTGGCGTGACTGGGCGGCGCTTGAGTGGGAATTTGTCGCACACAAGAAGAACAAGGGGCGCCTTGGATGTCTGATGTCTCATGACACTTTAAACACGAGCATGCCCCCTTGACTCCAACGGCCCGCGCTGGACCTGGCTGAGCCTCGCTGGTAGGCGCGGAGCCGGACTTGTCGTCGGCCGAGTTGCCACGGGCTGAGAGAAGGCTTCGAGCGTCGCATAAAGGTTGAGAGGCGAGAGGCGAGAGGCAAAGACGCTGGCATGGCTGGATAGGGATCGGAAGTGGGCCGTGCATAGGAGCGAACGGATGTTCGGCTCGCCGCCAGCGTGCCGATTGTCCGAGCCCTAAACTCTCTTATCACCACCCTTGGGCGCCACGGCCACGGCGCGTTAGCGTGGCACCAACCGTCTCGTTGGGCAATTCAGACGTGCTCACAGCAGGGTGACCTCCGTCCCTAAAGTGCCGGCTTGCCCGCCCGTCCTGCGACACGCACGCAGTAGCCGCCTTGTTGTAGTGTATCTAGGTAAGTCATTGGTTGCGGCCGGTGCGGGCCGGTGTCCTCCCTTGTCTTGCGGCAAAAGTCGGTGGCTTGCTCTTTTTTGACCGTTGGTCCAAGGCCTCCTTCCTGCCCGCGACTGTGGCGACTGGTGGCGACTGTGGGCGACTGTGGGCAGCGCGTGTAACCGTCCTTGGCTCTCTCGGCAGGCAGCTGGCTAGGGATCCGTGCCGGGCAGCCGAGAGGTCTCCGTCGAGGCCCAGGGCCAGCCGGGGCTCGTCGGCTGGGCAGCCAATCGAAGGCGCCGACTCTGGCTGCAGGGCCCGCGTCTGTCTGTCTCTGGCTGCCGTGTGCCGAGTTGTCGCATGGACCCCCACAAGGCCCAAAGCGTGCTCGTTGCTTTTGCTCGGCATTGGTCTGGACGGCGAAGCCAAGAGCGCCTGGGACGTTTGTCGGTTGCACGGCATGCAACTTGTCTGACGTCGCCTCGCTTTTCGAGGCAGAGTCTGAGAGGAGTTTGTGACGAGGCGGGCCCGGTATGTGCTAGCCCAAGGCTCCGAGTACCTACTGTACGCGGGTGCCAAGTCCCTCTTGCCAAGTCCCTCTTGCCAAGTACCTCTTGCCAAGTACCTCTTGCCAAGTAAGGTAAGGTAGTACCTCTTACCAAGTACGTACAGTACAGTACGGAGGAATTGATCCAGCCGCCTTACCATGTACCGAAGCCCCCGCCTCGATACGCCGAGATACATTGCCGGCTTTGCAACTCTGTCTGCTGCCTTGTCTGATTGGCCAAGCCCAGAACTCGGGGTACGAAAGCGTCGGGTACCGGCCGCAGATGCTTGCACTCGAGCTGAGCCTGTACTGTAAGGGGTCTCCTCCTCTTGGAGATGGTAGAGTCGATGCGCCCAGAAATGAATACAAAAGCCGGCGTCTATCCTCGCCGAGTTTACCTGGTTAACCCTGCAGCCCCTCTCGCACGCTCACTTCACCGCGGATGGGCTGGACAGATGCCCAGATGCACCCGCGGTGGAGGGTTACAGGGCCCCCTGGAGCTTAGGTAAGAGGCCAGCCAGCCCTGTACAGAAATAGCTCGGGTAGCGCGTCCGCCTACCCGTGCCTTGCCAATCACCAGTGCCCATGGTGTGGGACGGGACACTCGAGGGCAGACGTCAACTCCGTCCGTAGCTCGCTTGATTTCTGGGAGTTGTGTACGGATACTGCAGTGTGTCGGCCATGTACCGCAGCTGTGCCGTAGGCTGGCACGGGCAGTGGGTAGGTCCCCTAAAAATCGCCTGGTCTACGGAGTAGGTCGCCCGAGGTCCCTTGCCGGCGCCCACAGCGGTGTTACTAGCAGCCAGCGGCCCACGGCAAAAGAAGCCAAACCCTCTCATTCGCTGTACCTCGTACTCCCACTTCGCCCCACCCATCTGGCCCGCTGCCTCCCCCTTCCTGTCCTCATCCTTGTCAGGCTGCCCGTCACCCTTCACTTCCCTCTTCATCAACCTGATCCCGCCACGGCCCCCGCCCGTCGTCGCCCACCGCCTGCCTTCTGCACTGCCGGATCCTCGACTCTCGAGGCTGCCGCCTTTGCAGAATTCGACGAGCCCAGCTAGGGCGCCTACCGCCATGGCCGCCGACGACGAGAAGACCGCCGCCACGAGCCCGGGGCCCGTCGAGAGGCCTCGGCCCTCGGTCGCCTCGACCGACAAGTCCCACGAGAGCGCGGTAAGACTGACCCTGATGCCCTACTGCCCGGCATCGAGTATCCGTCTGCGTGCCGAGAGAGAGAGGGGGAGAGCTTTCGGGATATATAGGGGAGCTCGGACAAGGCAGACCTCAGCTCGGGGAGAAGCATACATCATCCATGGCAAACGGGCGCTGACGGGCCTCGCCAACCTTAGCAGGAGCCCTTTTCCTACGACGAAGACGACCGCTACCTGTACACGACTCAGCAGCAGCATCAGCGCACCGCCACCGAACACGATCTCAATGTCACCGAGGACGACCTGCTCGAGGCCAAGGAGCTCGCCTCGCAGTACACGCTCGACGAGGTCCGCGACATTATGATCCGCGTCCGCCGCGTCCACGAAAAAGACCCCAACTTCCCCCTGGCCGTCATCCAGAAGATCAAGGCCTTTCTTGACAACGAGTCCGTCTTCTCCGAGCCCGAGAAGCACCAGCACCTTATCCAGGAGATGAAGCTCGAGGCCGCCCTCATCACCAGCAACAGCCCCTACGCCGAGGTGCGCGCCGTCGTCAGCAACAAGGACGACCCCAAGACGCCCTGCTCCACCTTGCGCAGCTGGGCCATCGGCCTGCTCTTCTCCGTCCTCCTCGCCTTTGTCAACCAGCTCTTCGATATTCGCCAGCCCGCCATCCGCGTCATGGCAAACGTCGCACAGCTCCTGGCCTACCCCGTCGGCAAGGCTGCCGAGAATTGGCTGCCCGACAGGGGCTTCACCCTCTGCGGCGTCCGCCACTCGCTCAACCCCGGCCCCTTCTCCAAAAAGGAGCACATGCTCATCACAATCATGGCCAACGTCGCCTACAACACCCCCTACACCAACTACATCATCTGGGTCCAGTATCTGCCCCAGTATTTTGACCAGCCCTACGCCTCACATTTTGCCTACCAGCTGCTCATCGCCCTCGCCACAAACTTTATCGGCTACGGCATTGCCGGCGTCTGCCGCCGCTTCCTCGTCTACCCCTCGTACTGCGTCTGGCCTGCCTCGCTCGTCACCATCGCCCTCAACTCGGCCTTTCACACCGACGTGAACCCCCCCGTCGAGGGCCCCTTTCGCAAGATCTGGCGCATCTCGAGGATAAAGTTCTTCTACGTCATGTTCGCCGCCATGTTCGTCTGGTTTTGGTTCCCCGGCTACATCTGGGTCGGCCTGTCCAAGTTCAACTGGATCAGTTGGATTGCCCCGGGCCACCGCGAACTCAACGTCGTCACGGGCATCAACCACGGCTTGGGCGTCAACCCATTCCCGACCTGGGACTGGAACGTCCTCCTGTGGGACTCGGCCGACCCGCTCATGGTGCCCTTCTTCAGCACCGTCAACCGCTTCATCGGCGTCTTTGCCTCGTTTTGGGTCGTGCTTGCCTTCTGGTACAAGAACGTCTACAACACGGGCTTCCTTCCCATCAACACCAACCGCGTCTACGACCACTTTGCCCAGCTGTACAACATCACCAGGGCCACCGACGACCACGGCCTCTTCAACCAGGAAAAGTACTCGGCCTACTCGCCCCCGTTCCTCGGTGCCGGCAATATCGTCATATACATGTTCTTCTTCGGCATCTACACGTCGACGCTCACGTACGCCGCCCTCTACCACCGCCACGAGATCGTCATGGGCTTCAAGGCCCTCTTCAACAGCCTGCGCCGGAAGACGCCGCTGCGCGAGGAGCGCGTCCTGGACGTGCACAACCGCCTGATGAAGGCGTACCCTGAGGTTCCAGACTGGTGGTACCTGGCCTGCCTTGCCGTCGCCATTGCGTTTGGCGTCGCCGCAATCGCCGGCTGGAACACGCACACGTCTCCTGGCGTCGTCTTCTACGGGCTCGCCCTCTGCGTCGTCTTTGTGATTCCCGTCGGCATCATCAAGGCCATGACGGGCATCGAGGTGACCCTCAATGTGCTCGCCGAGTTTGTCGGCGGCTCCTGGGTCGACGGCAACGCCCTGGCCATGAACTACTTCAAGTCGTTTGGCTATGTCACCTGCGCCCACGCCATCTGGTTCTGCAACGACTTGAAGCTCGCCCACTACGTCAAGGTGCCGCCCCGCCACACCTTTATCGCCCAGATGGTCGCCACCTTTGTCAGCACCATGGTCTGCATCGGCGTCTTGAACTTTCAAATGATGAACATTGACGACGTCTGCACCCCCGAGGCCCCGTACAGGCTGACGTGTCCCGGCGTCAACACCTTCTTCACGGCGTCGGTCCTGTGGGGCACAGTCGGCCCCGAGAAGATCTTTGGGCACCAGGGACAGTACAGCGCCACTCTGGTCGGCTTCCCGCTCGGCGTCGTCATTGTCGTCTTCTTCTGGGCGCTGAGCAAGAAGTTCCCCCAATGGACGTGGACCCGGCAGATCCACCCGGTGGCCATCATGTACGGCGGCATAGTGTGGGCGCCGTACAACATGTCGTACGTCTGGCCATCGGTGCCCATTGCCTACTTTTCGTGGATCTACCTCAAGTCCAGATTCCTCGGCCTATGGTCAAAGGTATGTCCTCTGCTGCGGCGCAGGTCCGTGTCGAGACTAACGATGTGTCTCTGATCAGTACAACTTTGTCCTTTCGGCGGCGTGGTCGTGCGGCATTGCCATTGCGGGCATCATCATTTTCTTCAGCCTGCAGTACACCGGAACCGACCTCGACTGGTGGGGGAACCGGGCGTCGGAAATGGGCTGCGAGGGCAACGCCTGCGCCCTCAAGACGCTCGCCCCGGGAGAGTACTTCGGGCCGCGGATAGGGGAGTTTAGCTGATAAAGAAGCGCAAAAGAAATGAAGGGATTGGTCTGCTTGGACGTTTTTCAGCGGTCTTAGTTGGGAGTCACGACGCGCGGAGTTTTGGGTTTTTAGGCGAGCATGCTCCGGTCGACGATTGGTTTTTGGGAGACGTGTTGTCGGGAACAAAGTTATACCCTTTGATGGCTTTTCTTCGCCTGTTTTCTTTGCCCTCGACTCCCCTTTTCTTTCTCTTCTTTTTATTTTCCGGTTATCCCGGACAGAATGGCCGGCCGACTGGTGGCGCATCAACCGCATTTACTCTACCATCTGGAAATCGACTCGCCGCGATTTTTCTGTACAATAGGCCACGCTGGCGGGGGAGGGGGACGCAGCGAGAGAGAAGGACCGCAACGCCATATCGGCGAAGCGAGGGTTCATTGCATGTCCTGGACTAAACTGACGTTTTTCTGCGTCCCACTATGGTATCAAGTTGCCTCCAAGCCCTCTTTCGTGCCGAAAGGGTGCGGACCGAACTTGGGATTTGCCTGGTCCGAGTGAAATGTCGACGTCAATGCCCATCGCCCTCGCCCCCCCTCGCAGGTCAGTGTGGCTCTCCTGTCTCATTGTATGGTTGGAGTTGAGATGGACGATTCTGATAGAGCTGCCAATGGCTGACACAAGCTAGGTGTGTACCGACGCACGGTCTTGTATGCCGTGCTGCGACGGCGTGGATAGAAAGGGGGAGCCTGGTTTCTTTCTATGCAATCTAGATATAGTTCATCCTCTGTACAACAAGCGTCTGGGGAGACAACCTCAGGCCCCTCGGGTATTAAAAGATCTGAATGCAGAGATGCTCGCTCGCTGACCCTTTAAGCAGGGACGGTATCGAAAAGAGAGTAAGAAGAAGAAGAAGAAGACGAAGAAACACAACAGGTCGAATAAAAGGCGTACCCGCAGCTTTACAAACAGCAGCATCACCTCGGCCCGTCCTCGCCTCTTTCCGGCCCCAAGCTACTGCCGCAGCGACCACGACGGGAAGAGGCGCGTCCGCTCGCCGCCCCCTGCGCCGGGCGCACCCGGCCGACCGAGCTCGCCCTGCGCGGGCACGGAGCGGATGTGCGGCGGCTCCGCGGCCCTCTCGACGGCGCTGTCCCGGCTGAGGCTGGCGCGGTGCCTCGACCACGCGCGGGGGCGGCTCCTCTGCGAGGCGGCGTGGGCCTCGAGCGCCGGGCGCGAGGGGCCGTCGGCCGACGCGGTGTTTTGGCTGAGCACCACGACCGTCTTGCGCCTGGCGAGCTTGGGGACGGCGTCGAGCTCGTGCATCTTGCGCGCGACGTGGCCCATCTGCGCCGGCACGGTCGGGTGCGCAATCACCTCGCCGGGGGTGATGTGGACGGACTCGAGGCCGCTGATGCCGAGCCTGCCGAGCCCGACGTTGAGACAGCCGGCGAGGAGATAGGCCGGCAGCACGGTCCCCGACACGTCGTAGAAGCGCGACGCCTCGAGCTGCTCACCCTCGACGCCGGGGCCCCCGGGGCAGAGCACGTCGGCCCACGTCTTGGTGAGGAGCGTGTGCAGGGCGCTCCGGTGCTGCGGCGCCAGGCGGCTGGTCAGGGGCTCGTGCTCGGCCGCCGCCACGTCGCGCTTCTCGAGCAGCACCCGCGGCTCCTTGCTCTCGTAGTCGCCCGCCGACGGCAGCGTCGCCTGGCCGAGCGTGTCGAAACAGGCCAGCGCCTTGACGGCGCCGACGAGCAGGTCCATGACGGCCGAGGCAACGTCGCCCGGCACGCGGCCGGCCGAGAACTCGAGGGCGAGGGCGACGCGCGCAGGACCAATGGCCGTCGACGACGCCACGATGTCGGGCACAATCCTGGCTGGCGCCTCGACCGTCTTGTAGGTAAAGGCCGTCTTGTCGAGGCTGAGTGCCGCGGACCCGTCGCCGGGGAACCGGCTTCGGTGCCGGACGACGGTGCTGAACTGCGTCCAGCCCGGCCAGTCGGTGCACTCGCGGATGATGGCCTGGCCGCCGAGGGCCTCGTGGGCCAGCGAAAAGGCGCATTCGCGCTGGACGAGCTGCATCAAGTGCAATGCCGACGGGCGCCTGCTCGGGAAGCGGACCCTGACGGGCACCGTGTTCTCCAGGGGCCCGACCATGGACGACGACAAGGACGACGGGGACGACGACGACGACGACGACGGGGCGTCGGTCCTGGCCCCGAGCCTGGTGCGCCGCCGCTGGCCCTCGACCAGCTCGCCAAAGACCACGTCGGCGCTTCCCGACAGCCGGGCAAGGACCATGGCCCACGCCGTCTTGAGCACCGTGTCGAAGCAGATGCCCACGTCGCCCAGCGGCGCCACGTCGACCGTCTCGTGCAGCGCCGTCTGGTCCGCCGCCGGCCCGCACGGCCTCGGGTGCGGCACCACCTGCGTCATCCGGGCCCCCGCGAGCCGTGTCTTCCAGTGCCGCACGCTGTCCCTGCGCCGGGCGCCGGCCTGGGCGGCTTGCGCGAACTGCAGGAAGCTCGGCCGCGCGGGAACGCTGTCCGGCCTCTCGTACAGCCGCACGAGGTCCTGCACCACCTGCGCCGCCGAGCCCTCCGTCATCTGCGCCGTGCTGAAGCGCATCAGCAGCTTGCCCTGCTTGCCGCCGCCGCCCTCAAGGTAGGTGAAGCCGGTCACGGGCCTGCCCAGGCGTAGCGGGAGCCGTCGGTCCTGCTGCATCGCCATGTCTGCCTCGCCGTCGAGGCTGCGAGCCGGACAGCACCGGTATCGGAAGGGGGCCCGGAACGAGGCCACAGCGACTTGGTACGCGCGACACTCGTGGACGGCAAAGGCGGTGCGCAGGATCGGGTGCACCATTGTGAGGGCTTCGCATGCCGCCTCGAGCCTTTGCTGCCGCACGGGGCCGTCGAAGTCGAGCACCAGCCACCCAATGTCACCTCGGGGCTGGTACAGGCTCGACTCGATGCTCTGCGACTGCTGCGACGTGGCCTCGGCAGCCTCGAGCACGTCGTGCCGCGAGTCGCCGAGCTGCGGCGCCAGGACCAGCTTTATGAGCCCCTCGTACGGCCCGCGATCCCATGTCTCGCTGACACGAGGCTCATGGGATACCTTGCCGCCTCCTCGTGCGTCGTCTTCGTCGTCCGAGTCGACAGAGTATGTGGAGCGACAGATGTCTGTCAGAGTCGCGCCTCTGAGGACCTGCCGGATCGAGACATCGAATCCACCTTGGCGGCATGAGACGACCAGGCGAGCAGCCAGCAGCTTGTCGCCGCCGGCGTCTGAGAAGCTATCCGACGGTCTGATGCCGGCCGCTGCGGTCCCCAAGACGCCCGCCCAGATGAGCCGCATCGACTCCTCCGTCTTGGTCAGGGGCAGCGGCTTATCGACGAAAGGCGGCGTCTGAACACCGGTATACTGTCCATCGGCCAGTCCCATCAACTGGGTATAGGTCAGTGATGCCACCATTCTGCGCAGTCTTCGCCGGTTCACTTTGAGCGAGACGGACAGAGGAAGCCCCCGGACGGGAACAAAGACGGGCGGGATACATTGCCAGGGGAGCTCCTTTTCAGCCTTGATGGACTTGCTCAGTGAAGTCTCGACGGCTCTCCTTGCCGCGAAGAGCTTCTGTTTCACTTCCGGCCCGAGACAGTTCAGGTCGTAGGGCTTGCAGCCTGGCTTGCGTCCCAGATCGAGAAAGGCCGCCAAGAGGCTCATCGAGTCGCTGGTCGTGATGGGCTCCACGGCGACGTCGACTCCGCGCGCGAGGCACAGCCGGATCTGCCGCTCAATATCGGCGATCAACACGGGGGTTCCGCTAACGGTGATCTCGTCTTGCCGGCTGGCGACGAGTCGGACGTGGCCACGGTCGAGGTGTCGCGCCACCTGGCCGGTCCTCAGATAACGCCATTTTGGCTTGGTCTGCGGCTCACGCAGGAATTCGGGATCCATGAGAGGCTGGCCGGGAACGAATCTGTGAGGCGTGACCAGCGGGCTGTCGATGGCGAGCTCTCCCGTGGCCCCGATGGGCACCATCCTCTTGGGATCTTTGGGGTTGAGGACGAGGAATCGCCCCATCAGGGGCGGACCGATGACGTCGGCCTCGTCGGGGCCACGTACTTGGAGGACCGAGATGGCCAGCGGGCAGACGTCGGGGGCTCCGTAGGCGACAAGGACGTTTGTTCTGGGCAGCCACGGGCTGTACGTCTCCTGGTCCAGGCTCCTTGTCCTGAAGCAGATGGTCTTGAGGCTGGGCACCTTGGTAGGCTCCAACCTGCGCGCAAGGACAGGCGTCATGTAAGACCAGCTAACATTCATGTGAGTAATGACACCCTCGAGGTCGTCTATCCTGTCAGACTCCGAGGGGATGCAGACGCAGCCGCCGTGAAGGAGAGTGCAGAAGATCTCGACGAGGGCGACGTCGACGTTGAAGGCCGACAGCTGCAAGACCCGGCTCCCGTCGCAGATGCTGAGGGCGGGTCCCTGGACCGACAAGATGGAGCAAAGCGACTGGTGAGTGAAGAAGATGCCCTTGGGCTTGGTCGCTCCGGGGGACAAGAAGACGCACGCGGCCTGCTCCGGGATGGGCTCGTGCGGGACAAACGACACTTGCGGGGGCAACGCGGCGAGGGCGCTCTGGTTGACGAGCACGCAGTTGTCTACCGCGGGACTGATGTGCTTCCACGCCGGACCAGTGACGAGAACGAGGGGAGGCGTGAGCTGTCTGATGATGGACATTGCGGTGGCGACGTCTTGGCCATCAAGAGCGACGAAGCAGCCGCCCGCTTTCAAGACGGCGAGCATGACAACGGGTGACCAGAGGCACTTGTCAAGCACCAGCGGCACGAGAGCACCGGGGCCGACGCCGAGGTTGACGAGGTGCGTCGCCAGTTTGGTCACCGAGGCCTCGAGTTGCTGATACGACAGCTGGCCATCCCACGCCGAGACGGCCTTGGCCTGCGGGCGACGCCGGGCCTGCTGGATGATGAGCTGGTGGATGCAGGCGGACACTTTGGTGTCGGTCTGGCAGGGGTCCCAGTCGGGCGTCGTGATCTGCCTGTAGTCACGCTCGGTGAAGAGGTCAATATCGGACACGGGCCGGGCCGGCGCGTCGAGGACAAGATGTAGGGCGCGCTCGAAGCTGTTGACGACGTTGTGGGCTTGGTCGGCGGTGAAATGGTGGTAGGTGATGTCGCCGCGGAGCCGGTTGCCGAGGCGGGTGATGCACAGAGACAGCTCGCAGTTTGCGTTTACAGACGAGGCGACGAGCTCGGGCTGCCAGGCGGCCGACTCGAGATGGATCCGGTTGGTGATTCTCAAGGCTTGTGTCGCGTCCTGGAAAGAGACGCACGTGTTGAACAGAGGCTCCCCGGCGAGCCCGAGCGCGTGCTCAATCTCGGCCACCGTCGGGCACTCGCTCTTGGCTGCCTCTCGCGACAGCGCCTGCAGGCCCCTTAAGACGTCCATGACGACCAGGTGGGGACTGGAGAGGTCCATCAGGCACGGAACCAGGGCGGCAAGGCTGCCAATGTTCTGAAGCCGATGGGGCGGCAGCGTCTGCTCTCGGCCAGGAGACTGGTAGCCGAAGCTGATCTTGTCCGCACCCGCAAACGTGCGCAGAACAAGCGCCCAGGAAAGCTTGATCAAGAGTGACGGCTCCAAGTTGTGTTCCCTGCAGAACCCGAGCACCCGGGCTGGGCTGATGTTCAGGTCGAAGCCCCGTGTCTGCATGCGGCCCCTGTTCTGGAAGGCCAGCCGGGGGAAGAGACATGGCGCTGCGACGCCGGGGGTGATCCCCCATGCCTCGAGCCTGTAAGTGGCGTCCTGCGAGGAGATGTGTCGATGTCTCCTCGTCGAGGGGGCTTCGAGGAGGTGTATTGCCTCGCCTGCGTACATGCGGCGAAGTTGCGATATGAGGGTGTGGATGCTCGCCGGCTGTATTCATGTGAGTCATCCCAAGGCATGAGACAGGATAGAAATACGATCAGGTCGCACTTACATCACAAATGGCTTGGCTGGCATCCAGTCTCAAGTAAGTCTGCGTCGACGACGCGGATATCGACAGCCGGTGTCGTGGCTGGGAAAGGGGAAGCTTCATGGCTGGGATGGAGGCCAGCGTCTCGACGGGATTGGACGAGTCGACAAACAAAACAGACGGAGAGATGCTTTTGAGGATGACTTTATCGAAGAGCCCCCTTTCGGAGATGCTCTCGATGAAGACGGTGCGCAGCGAGGCGTGCATGGCGACGAGCGACGCCCACGCCTCGCCTAGCCTGGCTTGATCGATGGGCTGGTGCTGTTGCTGGTCATGGGAGAGGGGGACGATTTCATAGGTGCAGCTGACGTGAAAGGCCTCAGGGGCCTGGGCCTGGGCGATGAGCATCTCCTGCTGAACGGGGTCGACGGGGCCGAGGGAATCGACGTTTACGACGCTGTCGAGGCCCACGGCGGCGAGTCGAGAGGCAGCGAGGCGGGCCACGGCGTCGTAGGACGTGTCGAGGAGGGGCGCATCGGCCAGGGTCAGCTGGGGCTGCATGACGCGCAGGCGGCCGACGGCCTCGAGGAGGGAGTGCTCGAAGTTGTGCATCCAGGCGGCGATGCGGTCGCGGCGGGCGGCGTGGGCGTTGAAGAGGAACTCGACGCGGGCGCCGGCGGCGTCGATGACGACCGAGACCTCGAAGAGGGCGATGCGGCCGACGCGGGGCCCGATGTCGGAGACGAGGGACTCGAACTCGCGGTCCGGGGCGGCAATGGGCTCGAGGATGCCGCCGTCTCGGCCGAGCTGGCGCAGCGTCTCGACGCAGTTGAACATGACCTCGACGGGGATGGCCTCGGGCTGCGAGGGCGAGGGCGAGGCCGACGAGGTCGAGAACTTGGACGTCGGCAGGGAGGCGGACGAGGACGAGGCGGAGCAGCAGGACGAGGGGGAGAGGGGGGCAGAGGTGCTGGCGGGCGAGGCGGGCGAGGCTCCCCCCTGGCGGGAGGCGAGGACGGCGCAGCGCGTGTCCTTGACCAGGCGGACGAGCTGCACGAGGTCCGTCTCCACGTCGGCAGCAGCCACGGCGAGCGGACACAGGGTGGTGAACCAGCCAACCGTGGTATCGAGCGCGTCGTGGCGGTCACCACGGCCACCACGGCCACCACGGTCGCGGCCATGATGCTGCTTCCAGACGGTCGGCACGCGGCGGTCGGGAAACGTCTGGCGGAACGAGTGCAGCAGCGCAGCAACCAGGATATCGGCCGACTCGGTGCGGAAGACGGCGTTGCACTCGGCCACCAGGCACGCGGCGGCGTCGGGCGTCAGGCAGAAGGCCAGCTGCGCCGTGTCGGCGTAGCAGTTGCGGCGGCCCTGCAGCGCCCAGTACGAGGCCATGCTGCTGCCCAGCACGGGGTCGACGACGCGCTGGCTGCCCTCGAGGCTCTGCCGCTCGGCCCAGCGCGGAAAGGCCATGGACGACGACGACGACGGCGACGACGGCGACGCCAGCGTGCCGTGCCGCAGCAGCGAGTCCAGGTCGTCGAGCAGCACGCGCCACGAGACGACGTCGACGACGAGGTGGTGCGCCACCAGGTAGAGCAGCTGGTGGTTGTTGCGCGTGCGGATGTGCTGCGCCGCGAAGACGGGGCCGCGGAAGACGTTGAGCGAGCGCTGGGCCTGGTCCATGATGGCCAGCAGCGCCTTGTTCTTTCTTCGCCGCTTCTTCTCCTTCTTCTTCACCCTTTCTCCCTCGTCCTCCTCCTTGTTCTTTTTCTTGCTCCTCGTCCTCTTCTCGCCTCTGCCGCGTAAACTGTCGTCATTATCCTCCTCCTCCTCAACCTCCTCGCCATCGACGACATCGTCACCGCCACCATTGTCAGCCTCATCATCATCATAATCATCGTCGTCGTCGTCGTCGTCGGCATACTTGTGCTCGAACCGGTACGACCGCCTCGCCGCCGGCGCAATCACCTGCGCCCACCCATCCCCTGTCAGCCGGAAGCGCGCCCGCAGCATGGCATGTCGACACGCCAGCACGTCAATGGCCGCCTCGATGTCGGCCAGCTCGGCGCCGCCGCCCCCAACCCGCAGCAGGATGCTCTGGCTGAAACGGAAGCCCGCGCCGCTGACGGCCGCCGACTCAATGCTGCGCTTCATGGTGGTGCGGAAGAAGAGCTGCTGCATCAGCGACAGCGGGAAGAACTCGGACTCCTTGCCCGGCTCCTCGGCCGCCCCGGGCCCTTGCCACGCGATGCTCTCCTTGCGCGCCTCGGCGGATGGCGACTCGGGCAGCGTCGGCGTCTCCTTGGCCTCCTCGGCTTGCAAGCCCTCCCTCTCTTTCCTCTTCATCATCTCCATGGCCGTGTCTCCTCGCCGGTGCCGAATCAGCTGCTGCAGCTCCAAGATCTGCTCCTCCACCTCCTCCGTCACGTTCTGCACCCACGTCTGCAGCTGTCTCGCGTCCGGCTCGCCCCGGCCATCGAGGGCCATGGACCGGAGCACGATCCACACATCCGGCCGCGGCGCGTCGCCTCCCCACTCGAGCACCGCCGTCCGCAGTTCGTGGACCTGCCACCGGCCGGCCTCGTGCTCCTCCGGAGGGATCAGAGACGTGTCGCGGCAGTAGCGCGGGTTCGCCGCGGCCGTGACGAGGGCCACGAACCGGCCTTCAAACGGGCCTGCCCTCGGGGTGACGAAGCAGGCCCTGCCGACCTTCGAGGTGGACAGCACCAGGTTTTCGAGCTGCTGCTGCTTGCCGTCGCCCTGGTCGCGCTTCTTGTCCGCGCCGCCCGATGACGAGGACGGGCTGGAGCTGACGCTCTCGAGCAGATCGAAAAGGGCTGCGGCCTCGGCGTCAATGGCGGTGAAGATGTCGTCTCGGCTGCTGGTCGGCGTCGCGGGCTCCTCGGAGAGCTTTGCCTCTGAAGCCGAAGCCTCAATGAGTCTGGGCGGTTCTCGCGGTGGCGGCGGCGTCGTCGTCGTCGGCGTATAAGTGCGACAGTCGAGCCACGGACTGGCAGCTCTCTCAGTCGGCGACTTGTCCGCGGCCATGCTCACAGGCGCCGACGGTCTCTGTAGATAATCGTCGAGTTCTTTGTGCTGGCTCAGGTCGGCAAACAGGTCGGACGGTTGGCTTTGTCCCCTCTTGCTGCGCTGTGGCGTGTCCAAGCTCGCGTCTCCCGCGGCTCGGGCGCTCGGACTGGAAGCTCCCACGGCTGCTGCTGCATCTCCCTCGGCCAGAAGCGGCTCCTCGAGCTGTGGGCGTCCTTGCTCCATGGCTTCGGCGCTCTGAACTTGCAGGAACTGGACGATTCAGAAGCCGCTATCGCTTCCGGACGTGCCTCGCCTGAGGCGCCGGTGAGCTTCACCGTAGAGCTGTGGCGAGATGAGCGAGGTAAGCCAAGTGATCAGGAGTGAAAGTAATGGAAAATGAAGCAAAGGACAGAAGGGAGAGACGGACGCTATAGACGAGCGTTGAGCAAGACGTCGAGTGAGTGAATGATGGTCTGGTGTCGCGCACCCAAAACTCGACTTATACAGTCACCACCAACCATGCGGCGACATTCTCTTCAACCATGCAGTGCCACAAGGGGAATATCCCTAGAAAAAGGCCCCCAGCACGATGCAACGACAAGTTTCAAGTAAATGGCGGCGTCTGCTGTGGATGCGCATGTGTATGTATGTAGGCTCTTCCTTCGAGAAGGACCCCAATCAGCAGCGAGGCGGCCATGACTGCTTGTTGCAGGCCCACCTGAATACGACAACGGATAAAAGGCTTGGTGTGGTGGCAAGAGCAGCAAGATGCGCCGGTCTGGAGCGGCCATGACGTGGGCCGCCCGCTGCATCCCTGCAGCACCCCCGGCTTTCCCGTTCCTCGACCGGGCTGTCCCCTCTCGGCCTTGTCCTTTCTCGATGCTGACGGGTGGAGGGGAGGAAGGCATCCCATTGTCGTCGATGACTGTATTTCTATATACAGCGTGCTCTATATCCGAGGAAACCCACATGGCCTTTCTTTATCCTTTATGCTTCCATCGGCTGGCCCCCAAATAGCAGGAGAGTTGCTTGCGGTCCAGAGGGAAAGGAAGGCAAAGGCGGTTTTCGTGAGGATCCCGGGGTCGACTTCATGTATGCTGGGCGCTTCTCTCCTGAAACCCAGTTTCCGAGATCCAACGGGCGGCGAGGAACAGCGGGCCAACTGCACACTGACACCGGACTTGGCAACTCCAGTCATCTGCACGCTCCTCCGACCGACCTCGTCTTGGCCATACCAACTGGAAGCTTTTTGTGCAGCGCAGGTCCGTGTTGGCACAGCAGCCATATATGCCGGCGCATAGCTATCCAACATATATGTATATATATGTGTGTGTGTGCATATTGAATGCCGCCGCCAGCCTCCTTGATCTGGGTCTGCAGAAAAGACCATGTAAAGTCAAAACCGAGGCTCGCGTTCCAGTTGCCCACTCCATTCGCATTGCTCGGGCGAACAAAAAGAAAAAGAGGAAAATGACGAACTCACACCATCGCCACAACAACAACAGAGGGCCAGAGGAAGCACGATCCAGCAAGTGATCCCGGACCTGTCTTTGAAATGGCATCCCGATCTCTCCCTCCCCTTTGATTGGCCCGGTGTTGCCCGCCGGCGGAGCCATGGCCCTCCTCCGCCCGTCAAGGGAAGCCCTCTCTTTTCTCCTGTCTCATGACGCCCGGCGGGGGCGTGACAAAACAAACACGTTGATGATGCTCCGGCCCTTTCATCATGTCCTCGCCTCGGGCATCAAGTCCGATGTAGCGTGCCGTAGGTCCTCCGATGCCCGTCTTGCATCCACTCGGACATGGCCGATTGGGCTTCTTTGACGGACCAGCCTCGTCCAACAATCTCACCTCGGGCTATTCCTGCTACAGTATACAGGCAGCCAAGCCAATCCATGGCAAACCTTGATGCTTGCCCCCAGACATGTACATGCATAAACATCCCATGTTAGCTGTGGCTTCCATTCCTCTCCAACCAGGTCCACAATTCTCGAGGCCTACCACGTTCTATCTCTTCCCCCATATATGTATGTGGTTTATTAAGAGCAACACCAACAGTTTCTTTGTTCACATGCCTGCGCCTGCATCTCCGGCGTTGTCCGGGGAGCGAGGCTTTGGTCCAAAGCCACGACCGAACCCCCTGCGCCACGATCCCCAAGGCTGCAGCTTTCTTTCCTCTCTTTTCAGAGTGCACTCTGCCGTCGCTTCTGTTTCCGCCACCGTGCCCGTCCCATCTCGTTTACCCGATACTCCCTTTGTTCTTACTCAAGGCATATGGATGCTATCGTGACGCTGAGCAGACTCAGCTCCAGTACTGGACCGAGGACTTCCACCAGCCCCAGCCCGGCTCATAAACGGAGCACACCCATGTCAAGCTGCCATCGATCCCCAGCTCTCGTCCGAAAACATCTCTCATTTCCCGTATATGGTAGTTTACAAAAACATCACACAGCCTAATTGAAACAAGCACCTCGTAACGTACACTTTGCTCGCCTCCCCTATCCACCGCAAGCATGCTCTCTACCCCTAGGAACTGCTCTGCTCCTCCGTATCGAGCCGTCAACACTTACCCTGACACGCCGCCAGCCAGCCTCTCGGCTCCAATCACCACCTCTTCCTCGTCGGGCTCCTCGATGCTGGTCCTGTTCGTCGCCTCCTTGACCTCTACCGCGGGCCCGTCGTCCTCCGTCTTCTCGCTCGTAGCCGGCGCCGCCTCTTGCCTCTTCACCCCCTCCTTCTCGCCTTCGTGTTTATTCTTGTCCCTGTCACCACGCGACCCAAACGGCCAGAGGCCGCTGAGCCCCCTACTGCTCTCCTTGGCTGGGTGTACGGCTAGTGGACGCAGCAGGACATGGGAACCGCTCTCGCCCTCTCTCCCCTTGTCGTCCTCTGCCATGGCAAAATCTCCAAACTCCTCATCGTCGTCGCCATCGTCAGAATCGTCGTCATCCTTTTTGCTTCGACCCCTCACAACTCCCCTCCACCATGATCCGCGGCCACCTTCGGCAGCAACGTTTCCACTCAACTCGTCCTCCAGCTCGTCCTCTCCGTCCCGAAACGGGTCGCTACTGTCTTCATCTTCGTCGTTCTCGTGGAGCATGGCCGAGGACCCGTCCATGCTGTGACTGTTTTTCTGATGCATCGCCAACCGCGCCGCCAGCTGCAATCTAGCTCTCGATGGGGGGACATTTAGCGGAGGCGGAGGAGGTGGAGGCGGGGGAATCGATGGCGGTGCCATTAGGTTTCCCGTGTTGTTGAGTGGATCGGTATAAGCTCGAAACTAGAATCATTGGCCGCGTCAGCAAGTCAAGCTTGTCGTCCCTGTCCGGAAAGCGAAACCAAAAGAAAGGTGACCGTTCAATGAGCCAGCCATCGCTACAGACACTCGAAGTGACACCTGCCTCCGCGTTCCATTTCTCTCGCCCCTACTCTCGTTGATTCTTTTCCTTTTCCCAGTCCCGTCGTGCCTCTTGTAAATGCCTGGCCTCAATGGTAAAGGAAATCCTTCCGTGCTTCCGATGAATCCCCTGGCGCCCTAGTACATGCATCGCCTCGCTCGACCGCAAGAACATGAGATTGCCTCAACAGTTCGCCTTGGCCAGCAGCTTTACAAGATCTTCTAGATCAAATTCTTCAATCTCCTCCGGTTCGCCATACGTCGGCGTCTCGTTTGTCTGTGCGTCATTCATGAGCCGGTGAAAGTTGGCGCTTGCCTGCTGGCCGAGTCCCCCTCGAACTGTCCCGTTCTAGGGGAGCATCGATCGCGGTGGCTCGTCCTCGTCGGATGAAGCTTCACCAAGCAGACTCGACAACTTCGCCGGTCGGCCCGGGCTGGCAGGATCCCGATCTGGGGGAAACCCTTCTGGAGAGCCTCCCCTGAACGGCTCGGGCGACCTCATAATGACATCCATGGACGCGTCCGCCATGCTGGCTCCTTCGGCATATTGGGTACTCCGGACTTCAGTAAAATCACCACTCACCTCGGAATTAACGTCTTCCTCGTCGCCGTCGCCCTCCTCGTCTTCCTCGTCGCTGCTGCTGCCGAAGCCCGACATCAAAGTGCCTGCGCTTATGGCAAAGGGCCCGATTCCGTTGCCACCGCTCTCGGCGAGCTCAATGCCTCCGTTGAGGCCGGCTTCGGCGAGAGCGTTGGACGAGGCTCCCGAGCCAGCCCCGAGGCTGGAGAGGCCCACGCCGGCCAGTCCGTTGCCGCCGATGCTTCCTCGATGCCCAAGCGCCACCTCGGGCCGCACGCCGCCTAGGATGGCGTTATCCCTCTCGCGGGTTTCGGCTAGAGCACCCTCGACGTAATTGATCCAGTCCTGACTCATGACCTTGTCGAGCACAATCTCCGATAGGAGCTCGGGCGGATGTCGCTCGGTGAACTTGACCACCTCTTCGGCGATGAGGGTGAGGTGACCCATGTATCCCATGCGAGTCTTGACCTTGGCCTGAGAAATATCGCTGGCCTGCTGTCCGTTGATAATGGCCGTTGTGATGTCTGCTGACTCGAAGAGAGACACGGCCAGCGTAGGGTTGAATCCGCGATCCATGGGCCCGTTGAAAACTTGCTGTACAACGTCGTAGACTACGTTGTGCAGGAAGTTGTTCCACGGATAAGCGAAGAAGAAAGACTGCCACGGTTAGATTTGACGAGACAAGCAGTGCTTTCGCCACACAGTGAGAAGCCTACCAGTATTGCAGGGACGACGTGATGATCCACAAATTGCATCTTCAGAAAGTCCCCCACCACGGGATCCGTGGAGCCGGCCTCCCTCCGCCGCTCAGTCGCTGGTGAATCAGTGACCATCTCTTCTTGTGCAATGCCAGCCTCTTTTGTAGTAGGGCTGCGCTGAGGTTCTGACGGCGTTTCAGCTATTGTGTTGGTTGCAGATTGCTGCGCTGCGGGTTGGCCGGCGTTGGAGACTGAAAAGAGAGGCGCAGGCGTGTCCTCGGGATGAGGGGACAATTCACGGTTTCCAGAGGAATCCCCTGGTTCATGGGGAGCCAGTCCGCCCAACCCAGGTTGGGGATCGGGCTCTGAAGGGGGCTCTGAAGCGACCTCGGGGGTTTTTTGAGGCTCGTCATTTTCAGTAATCTCGTTGGCAACGGGCTCATCGTTCGGCTGTTGAGTCTGAGAACCAGGAGCGGTTTCGGGAGGGGCTGGAGCCGCGGCTTCGCCAGTTCCAGCGGGCTTGACTTTCGATGGTGACAGGGGAGCCACCACGAGGTCGGGATCGTCCAAAGTTTGTTGAGTATCCGTCTTTCCAGCATCAAACGATAGCTGAGGCGAGTTCAGCGGCTCGTCGACAAAATCATCATCGTCCCTCTCGAGGAAGAATGCGGGAGGGGGCGCAGCCATGTCATCTTCAGCCTTGACGAATTCGTGCGAAGTATCTTCGCTCATTTCCTTGCTCGGCTCGACCTCTTCAAAACCGTCGTCATCTGCGTTTGTGACCTCGAGACGCCGACTCTCGTCAGTCACCGCCTGTGGTATTCGCATCGTCAGGTCGTCGGCGGAGTGGTCTTCGTCCCTCTGCGGACCGAGCCTGCCGTCGATTCGCAGACGGTGCCGCTCGGCATCCCGGGTCGCAATCAGCTGCTCGGAACCGGCCTCGTTGAGGAGGCCCATGTTGCTGCAATGCAAGAGTTCGGCCATGAGCTCGCAGGTCTTGAACCGGTCGAATCCGAGTGGCTCCAGCTTCTCGCCGAAGGTCGAAGCTAGGCCATGCTTCTTCAAGGGGCCGTCCATAATCAGGCTCATAAAGTTTGGCACATTGTCCGCAAAGAGCCGCAGCAATGTGCCCAGATAGATGGGGTCACGGCTGGACGGGACTGTGTTGGCTTCGCTGCCGACGTCGGGATCGTAGTCGGAGTTGTTTTTCCGGATGACCTCGATGACGATGCCGACGCCGACAGTTAGCGGGTTGCCCCCGCCGAGCATGTAGCCGACGAGCTGTTCGGCGCAGGGCTTGGACACGAGCTGCCTGGTGAGCTCATTGGGGCCAATGCACTGCTGCTCGTTTTGTGAAGCGTTGGCGGAAATGGTAATGATGGCTTTGATAAAGTCGCCAGCGGCAGTTTGCACGACCCAGCTGTGGCTGGGATCGAGGCAGGACAGGAGCATGGGGATGATGTCTTTGGAGTAGAGCCACTGTGCCGCCAACATGGTTTGTTAGGGTGACGGGCAACGGGAAGAGAGCAGGCCGGCAGAGGGCACACGAACCTCGACGATGCCCTGGCCGCCTTCAGCGCGATCCAAGGCAATTATCTTGAGGAGCAAGTCCATGACCATTGGGCATTCGACGTGCCTGAGCAAGTCGGGCACGATGTTGGGCAGGCCTCGAAACAGCACCATCATTTCCTCTGTCTTCTTCTCAAAGAGCGACTCGTTGACCTTTGTAAAGTAGCTGGCCTGGAGAGGATCGAGGGGGGCGGGTCGCGAGAGGAAGACCCAGAAACTGCGGATGAGGTCGAGGTTGTCGGTGAGGGCCTCGGAGATGGACCACGTCTCGGAGCTGAGGATTTCGCAAGCGACGAGGGCATATCGGTTGCGCCTCTTCTCCTGCTCCTCGTCGTCGTTTTCCGAGGCATCGGCAGCGCGGGAGGAGGCGCGTGGGCGCGAAAAGGGCAGCAGGCGGCTTCTGCCCTTGGCTTCGTCATCGGCGGATTCGTCGGGGGTCTCGACGGGCTCGAGCTTGGGGGCGACGACATAGTCGAGGAGCTTGTCGAGAATCTTATCCTCGCGTAGGTATTCGATGAGCTTCGTATTGTGCTGCTTCAGCTCCTGGATCAGGTCGCTCTCGTCGAGCAGCTCCTCGAGGGTGAAGTCGGGCTTGTCGAGGATGGTGTCGATGGTGGAGATGTTGGCGTAGCCGCCAAATCTCCAAAACATGGTGGCGGGCCTATGTCACGGCGCCGGGCGACGAGCGGCACCGGCGGGCGAGACGGGGTCGAGGGATGGCGATGGGCTGGATCATGTAAAGCTGGGCGGTGATGGATCGAGGTGCGGTCGGGCATGCGCAGAAACGAAACGTGCCCGAAACTGGAGCCGGCTTGTCGCACAAAGGACGGGGAAATCCCCACGCAAGCCAAGGATGAGGATGAGGTGCGCTTCTGGCCCTGTGCGACACGAGGAAGGCGGGAGGAGGAGAAGGGCGGCAAGGGAAAAAGAAGGGGTGGAGGGGGGGGAGAAGGTGGATGATTTGAGGGAGAGAGAGGGGACGAGGCGATCAGTCGTCCATGATTGCCGCAGATGGCGATGTCGAGGGAAAATGAGCGACGGGGCCCGAAACTCGGTGTGGATGTCGAGGAAGCGCAGTGGTGCCTTACAGTGGGCGTAGGTACCTCGGGTAGATGATGTGTCTTCTGTCGGGCGGCGCGGAGAGCCTGTCGAGGTACCTGGTCCAGCAGCCAGGAGCGTGCCTCGGGGCCATGTACCTGCTAGTCAGGGTCGGCGCGTGATTGATTGGCGTGACAAGGACAGAAGCGGATGGATTTTAGCGCTCAAGTCCGCTAGCCGCAAGCCCGCGGAGAGCAACGATTGACTTTCCCGCCGCTGCGTTGCCTCGATGGCGGGAGTCAGCCGGCGGGAGGAGGGTCTGTCTCGGCGCCGAGGGGCAGCAAATCGGAGGCTGGAGCGCTAGCAATTACTGGCATTGCATGCGGCCATCACTGATTAACTTACAGGCTCTCCATTCTTGGCGGTGCAGCTGTGCTCACCCACCCTCTGCATCTGCAGTCTCCCTTGAAATTTTCGAGATTCTTCCCCCCCCCCACATTTTCCCCCCATTGCCGATGCAGTCAGTGCTTCTGCCACTTTCTCCCTTTCTCATGAAGCGAGTGAGGACGGATAGGAGTCGCATGCGTAGACGGCTCCCACCCGTCTCTCGTTCAAAAAGGTTGGTCCATGATAAATGCTTTTCCGGATCCATGTATCCCGTAACTCGACACCACTCTACGAGAGCAACAGTAGAAACACTCACTCACAACGTTGGCCCAAAAGCGAAGCCATCCGCAAGGCCCGCCGTTGGTCACAACTCACAACCTGTTGATTCCCACTCTGGGCCTGGGCCCAACAATATTTTCCCAAAGAGCCAAGGACCTCATTTCCCCTGCCCAGAAGCTTATCCTCTGACCTTATTTTTCGCTCTCGCTGTATCTCCGCCCCCCCCCCCCCGACTCGACCGCGAGGAGGGGGACTGAGCCCTTGCTCGTCCGAGGGCTGACGTCCTTGGCCCAACTATTCACAATCTGGCCGCTCGGCAAAGAAAAGGCCCATCTTTGTCTTCATGGCCGACCTGATGGGTGGTGACTGGATGATGGCAATGGCCAACGGTTAGCAGATATAGGGAAGCTCTGCCGCCGCCGCCTCCTCCGAAGCTCGAGATTCAGCCGTTGTTATGTGATTCTCAATGCTGCCTCCGCGTCAATTGCACTTTTGCCCGCCCGAGAAAGGACCGAGAAAGGCCAGGCCGTGAAGCAGCCATTATCTTGCATCAGGTACCTCGGGGCCTGGCGGGTGCTTTGTCCACCGACATGTGCTCCCACGCAGGCCTCATCCGACTCGCCTTCCTCATGCTGTGACGCCCTCCGATCTGCAACTCGCATACCCGTCCTGGAGCCATCAACAGCCTCGGCTTCCAAGATGTCGCTACCGTGCTACAATCCTGGGCCGCCACGTTTCCGTCCCGCATCCCGCCCCTCCACCGGAATCCCACTGCCGACGGCATCTCCGCACACACATATGCCTGCGCCGCCATCACGCGACCAATGTCTCACCTCGTCCAGCTCTGGGTTCCGAGGCTCCCGTCCATCGCCAGGGCAGGCTGCGAAGCTCTCGGCACATGCTCGCCACGAGCCGTGTGAACGCACAACATCCCCCGCGCTCAGTCTCGGAAACACTCGGCAGGGACACTCAGCGGCGGGTCCGTGGTGCGGATACGTGGTAGTCATTCGTAGTCTATTCATGAGTATGATATTCTGGTCTCCCGGAGCATCTTCTCCCCGTCATACCAAGTTCATCACGTGTAAACCCTTGTCCAACTCGCCGCCGACACTCTTCGTCTCTGCCATGTCCTTCAGCAGCATACCTCTCCACCAGCTATACCACTCGGCCACCTCGCCAAGGTCTGCATCCTCCAGTGCGAGCCACTCCTGTAGTTTCGCGTTCCACATGGGAAACACGTTCTGCACAAGCATTTCAGCCATCATCGCACCGCCGAGCATTCGCTCCCACTTCAAAATCCCTGTCAGGACGGGCAGATATGGCTCCTGATCTGCAGGGTCCACGCGGAAGTTTGTTCGTAGGTACCTGCCCATCGACGGCAGCACGTGGGCCATGATCAGAGGATTCCATTCGTCGCCCAAGACATCTTGCCACTGCTCAAGCCCCGGTACAACCCCCCGCTCAAACTCCCAGACATCGATCAGCTGCCGATACTTCCTCTTGACGTCAGCCACGAGGCCGGTGCCTTTGGTGTCCAGGTGGTATGCAGGCAAAAACGGCAGCCAAGGGAACAACCAGGTGTGTGGTAAGTGGTGGCTTTGCCGCTTTTTCCTCGGGTTCCAGTCTGACACGGCAGTCTCGAGCTTGCGCGCAATATTGTCCAGAACTTGTGCACGCACAAAAGGAGGCAAAAGATCGCTCCAGTTCTCGAGGACGCTGAGCATGGGCGCAGGCGTGAGGGCATCCCAGTCCCGAATGGCAGCCAACACTTGGGGCAACCAGACCTTGTACATCATACTTTCGTAAGGGGTGGTCGCTTTATGGTGTGGTCGATAGATTCCCTGGAGCTGTGCTGTTGCAGAGTCCCATTTGTGGACAGGTTGGCCACCATGTCCTAGGCTCGAGCCCTTGAATAATATCGACACCTGCTTTAGCTCTGCAGCGAAGCGAGCGGGCTCTCTCAGTGGATCCCAGTCGGATGCTTTCAATAAGGGGTGGATTGCCGCAACGGCGATATCAGCCGTCTCTGAGTTGATGGAGCCAAGATCAACGGCCTTTCGAAGGCATGCCATGATTTGATGCCAATCCGAGGCTCCCATGAGTTCATCAGTGACCAGAGTCGAGAAGCTTTGTAACCGCTTGAAATCTGATCGGAGATCTTCCATCTCCAGCTCTCGCTCCTTGAGTTCCAGATTCAGCCAAGATTTCCGTTCCTCTAGGCTCTTCCATTCTTCCGAGAAAGCCAGTAAATCTGCCTGTGCCCGTTTCACGAGCTTCCTGGCTTCCACTACCTCACTCGACTCGGGCACGCCAGATTTAGGTGTCATTACACCGCTCGTCGAGGTGAGTAACCTCCCCCCCGGACCAGTCATGTCCAGGATCGGCGTGAAGGCGTCTGGGATGTGTAGGCCTGGCGCCGCGGCCTTGAGCTCCTCCGCTGTTATGTATTTGGGCTTGCGTCTCCGCGGCGTGCTGGTGGCGCTCTCGCCTGCGATCCCAAGAGATTTCTTTTTGGCCTTCCTTCGCCGCTTCTTTTCTTCCTCGTCAGAATCAACGACATTTTCGCCGCGCAATCGAGCTTGTCTTTTTTCCTCCTCTCGTTCCTGGGCCGTCTTTTCTTTCACGGCGCCCAAGCCGATGCCTTGGGGCCGCAAGTTCGCCTCGATAATGACGTTTCTGCCTTGCCCTTCCTTGCCCAAACCCGTGCCCTCAACGTAGCCCATCTTGGCCATCATTCGAGCACCGAACGACTTGGCGTTGACCTTTCCTTTGCGCCCAAAGGCGCTCGGTTGGGGCTTGTTCCGAGGCGGCGGAGTGCTGTCGGCCTCTGATTCATTCAACACGGGCACATTGGCCGACGAAGGTACGAACCCGCGGCCGAGGACGCTCTTCCCATCAAAGGTGGTCTTGACCGTAGCGAGAGACGGCTTGGAATCGGATGCTTTTTGAAACTGCGGTTCTCCTGCCTTGTCCCAATCTGGACCCCGCGCCGTCCGGCCAAATCCCAGGCCCACGCCGGCATTGTCATCTTCGTCATCGTCGTCGTCGTCGTCGTCGTCGTCGTCGTCTGAGCCAGCAACTCCGTCGCCATGGACAGGCTCGTCTTCTTGAGAGTCTTCTTCACTGTCATTTTCGCCACCCTGCACGGCTGTTGAGACGAAGCTCATGCCCTTGCTTCTCAGCGTCTTGCTTTTCCATCTCTGGCCAGGTCGATCCTCGTCGCTGTCGGAGCCAAAAATGCCCAGAGCGGCCTTTTCCTTGCTGTTCCCTCCGACTCGGCGTCGTTTTCGAGGGTTGTAGTCCCTAAACTCATCGTCGGCGACATCAACTCCCGGCAAGACGTAGTCGTCATCGTTGTCTTCGGAGCTCGAGGAGTAGTCTGCGGCGGAAGCTTTGGTGAGACGGGAGGGGTCGAATGTATGGCCTGCAAAGCGGTCCATGGCTGCGATGGCTTTAGATATCCGCGTCCCTTCAAAGAAGCGATGAGGAGATAACTCCCATTGTCGAGTGTTGGTGTAGCAAAGACTGCAGCGGGTGCGTCGCGGGAAGCAAAAGCATCGGACGGGCAGCCTGCCGTTAATCAAGGTAGCCTCGCTGGCCTTAGTCAGCGCAATGTCATCAGCACGTGACCGTGATCCACTGCCACGTCGCGTCAACCGTCGGGCCCACTCCGTCCAACCTGCAACTTCAACGATGCTCTTGTCCAGATCCTGGAAATGGCTGCCCCTCGGCAAAGTCATGGTGAGGGTCCAATCTGCTGGATCAGTACTCGAGGTGGATCTGGTGAGATTTTGTTGATCGCTACACGTGCGATTCGCCGCGCTCAGGCCGGGTTCACTACCATTGTCGTCTTCCCACCTCTTCCACGGTCTTGAACAATTCTACTACGCTCGAGAGCCATCGAATCATTGAAGGCAAGTTTTCCGCGGATAATCCTTCTGGTAATACAGGACATGCTCCGGATCGACACGGTCTAGTCCCTTTGGACCGCATCAGCGGGTCTCGCCTGAGTATGAATCATGTCTTCCTAGTATCAATATGCATCGGAAGCTATATCGATAAAATTCTCAGTCTGCTTCACGAGGCCGCCGCGTATCGTTTCGAGTCCACTCATTAAACGAGCTTGATTTACCCCCATCCCTAAGCTTAAGATGTATAATTAAAGTAACTGTCAAGCTGGTAAAATACCGCTACAACTGGCAAAATAGGGGCTCCCCCATTAGGGGCATCATCAGCGCATATTATTAACCTTCATCTCCCTGATAGTAACTATGCCGGAAATCACGAGAGCCCCTTATTTGAAGCTCGCAGTTGAGCTTTAAGCCCAGGTGTGTAGGGGTGGCAAACAGGATGTCGGCAAATGATGTTATACGAGGTTGAATGGTCGCTGATTCTGGCCCGTGCTTCCGTTGCTCGCGCCATCTGTTGGCTATCCCACGATGCATGTACGTGGCACGCACATCGATTGACGAGCTTTGTTCGCAGCTATTGTAAGTAGCCCTGCAGGCTGCGGACTCAATCGACTCCTTCCGTTCAATGTTGGCCGTTGAACGCTCCATGCGAGGGCTCAGCCTCCGCAATTGCTTTTTACTAAATGCAACTGGATGGCTTTCATGTTTAGTGTCTTTCTCATATAGCTCGCATCAACCCCTAGGACCTCTACGGCGTTATCGAGTCGGGCGTCTTCATGCGCGTCGCTGTCGGAAATTTCAATCGCTTAAACCACGCTTGAGTGGCAGAGGCGGAACGCTGCAACAACCTCATGGTTCGTGCGAAATGAATTCTGTGCCTACCGGCAGTGATTTAGGTACCACACGCGGCGAGTGAAGGCTGAGTTTGCTTTGCCAAGTTTAAGGTGTCTTCAAGTAGGTATTGCCTGGGTAGTCCATCGGTCATTTAGTTCATCATGTAAGTATTTCAAGACAGCACCTCATCTCTTCATTTACTCATATATCGTTTCTCAAAGCTGTGGTGCGTATGTCGTTGAACTAAAGAGAAATTGATTCGTTAAAGTGAATATACTTATCGACCGGAGTTCCGACTTAGAGAGCCACTGAAGGTCGTCTAGAAACGGTTTAGCTGGTACTCAATTGTATCAACTAAAGCTACAACTGCTAATCTGCGTCTTCTTTTGAAAGTTGAAGCCTTCAACGGGCAGATATGATCGAGGTGGCGAGTTGGATACATCTCCAGCAATTGCCATTGGACCCCCCTAGTCTTCTCGGTACTTGAAAAGGAAGGAATTAGGCGGGCAGTAGTAAGGCTGACCGTGGCCCTGGCAAAGCTGACCGTGGCCCTGCCCGTGGATAAAGGGGGTAATGCAACGGATCTCTCGACCATGGATATTTATCATTCTCGGCCCAACTGCAATAGCATCGATGTTACAGAGAAAAGTGATACATCGCCAGCTCATACTGAAACTCCATGCTACTGCATCTGCGTAATGCAGGAACGCGGTGTTTGCAGATCAATTTCAGACTTGAGGCGAAGAATGAATTTCTACACACCAAGTACGAAGCACTTCTTGAGCTTTCAGGGGTAAGTTTGGATCCGCCGGTTGCAAGGCGCAAACTCGGTTGCCATCCACATCAAATTTGAGTCGATAGCGAGGCGATGGAACTAAAAACACAATTCATGAAGCCGAAAGCTGAGCTCACTGCGACGGATCAGTCTCGGCGAGGCTCGGATTCGCCGTGGCTCATCAATACAGCGACGACCACGGGTAGTTTTCGATATACTTCAACGTCCTGATGCCATCAACGGTGATACATTGCAGAAGAATGAAAACAGCGACTTTGCTCCAGGCTTTCGTGGTATCCAACGTTCGCTGCCACCGTGGATTCTTGGCTCCAAACATTCGCGTACTGCACACAGAGCTAACAATATTAGCTTGGAATGTAAGAGCATACTGAGAAATCTCTGTTAGCTATAGTTGCCTTCTCAGACCTTTCCGGATCGTCTTCAAACATTATTTTCTGTTCCTCGGCCATGCCGTTGCTCGGAACAGGCCTAGTCCGCGCACGTGTGGTCATAACCACGGATATCGAAGAGAACCACTTTATTGCCTGGCCTTGATACAGCAGCTGAGCAGTTGCAGGTCCAACACTTCCAACCATTGTCGACCTTCTTCAATAGGAGCTTGGACCATCGATCGTCGTGGACTCGTTTCCCCCGGGCCTCGAGCCAACAAAACGATCGGGGATGTACATGAACCTAATCATCTAGCATTTTACCAGCTGTCCAGATTCACCCTGAGGAAAATTATTTACCACAGCTTACATTGCTCGTAATATCGGCTCGTAATGCTCGTACGTTTCGCCAACCTTTCTAAGCAGCCAATTTCCACGCACCGTCCTTCTCGGTCAGCCCGTCCGTCCAGCCGCCACGTGCGGGATCGTTGAGGCTGTAACTTGAGATTTGATGCTGAGATCATGGTAGGGCGATGCTGAGGACTGAGCTAGCGGATGCCCCATCCAGCGTTCCCACTCTTCGGTACCAGTATCTCCTTGTGGGGTAGTTCTAGCCCGAAGCCGTGACCCTCTCGCCACCCCTCTGCCGAATATCGCGTATTGTTCTCTGTCCAACAATACGGCTTACAAGACGCCGCATGGACATGGCTTCACGTTGGACGTTGAAGCCCCAGTTGGAGTATCCATGCCCACGTGTCTTTGTTGTCTGTGGTGACTGATGTCTGCCCCCTTTCGATAATAAGGCGGATGCATTCGAGGCTAGCCCTGTTGCGTCCATCTGTCCGGTTTCGTATTGCCGGTCCCAGTGAATTTTGCCTTCCTCAAAGATGCCGGCCTCTCCAAGGCATTTAAGACTTGCTCCACCTCTCGAATGATCCATTCAGGTAAAGCTCCCCATCGGTGCGCCTGACAGTGTCGAGAGAAGCCTTCGAGAACGCCTTCGAGCAAGCCTCCGAGATGAGAGTTGCAGTGATCGGAGGAGGCCCCTCTGGCATCGTGACTTTGAAGTACCTCGTTGCGGCGCATCAAAGCCTACAATGCGAGCCCATCGAGGTTTGGCTCTTTGAGTACCAGCCTCAGATTGGGGGCGCCTTCGCCGCAAGGGTGTATGAAGAGGCCGAGGTGAGTTCTGGCTTGAGTGGCGGCTGTGATCCAACTCATCTGACAATGGCATCAGCTTGTCTCCTCGAAGCAGCTCACCACCTTCTCGGACTTTAGACACGATGGGCCTGAAGACTTCCTCAGCCCAGAACGATACGTCCAGTACCTGCAAGACTACTGCACACACTTCAAGTTATGGCCCCACATCATGCTCCGGACACGAGTATTGGCGGTAGAACGACAGTCTTGGGGTGGCCATGTCATTACATACGCGCCAAACGGCAGCCAAACACCGCTCCGGTGGCAATGTGATGCCGTTGCGGTATGCTCGGGCTTGCACGTAGAACCGAATATACCGCATATTGATGGTATCGAGAATGTTCCCCTGGTCATTCATTCTTCCAGGTTCAAGCGGCGAAAGCAGTTTGGATTTGACAAGACTGTCATGGTCATCGGCAGTGGCGAGACCGCTGCAGACGTGGCATACTTGGCTGTCACAGCGCCGACGAGGCGCGTCGTCATGTGTCACAGAGACGGCTTCCACATGGCTCCCAAGGTATGTCTTTGCCCGATTGGCCAGAAGCCAGGAACTGAATTGAGTTCTTCCAGAGGAACCCTGGGCCTATTCTGCTCCCTATCCTCGGTAGGAAGCCGGACTGCAAAGAGCCGGGCATACCCATCGACGTGAGCCGCGCAAACCTCTTCGACACTACCTATGTCCATCCGATTCTCCGCAACTCAATGCTGCTGTGGGAGTACTACCATTATTACATCAAAACCCTGCTGTGGCTGTCTTCTGGCACCACCACCGGAATGGATCAGTGGGTCGGCGCAATCAGCCCTGAACGTCATCATCCGTCCAGGAGTAAGTGCCACATGCCACCTGTTCACGTCTCGATCCAGTCGCGGCTAACATCAAAAGTCTTCTTCAACAAGTCGGACAAGATATGCCCCTATATAAGCCTACCATATCGGCCGAAAATTCCTAGCTGGCGCCTATGGCTATTCGCCTTGAGATCAGCATTTGTACAAAAACCTGTTCCGGATACTCAAGGAAAACGGGTTGACTTGGCACCGTGGCCGGAGAGAATAAGGCCCAACGGGATAGCCCACTTCAAAGATACTGGACGCCCAGAATCTGAACGCATAAAGAAGGAAATCATCAAACCCGACATCATCGTCCTCTGCACCGGCTACAAGCAGTCATTTCCTTTCTTCAATACCCGTCAGAAGGGAGGTGGCCAAGCGTATCCGGTACCGAGCGAAGCCAACGTCCGCGGCATATGGAAACGCGACGAACCTACAATTGGCTTCATTGGCTTCCTGAGGCCATCACTTGGTGCTATCCCTCCCTTGGCTGAGATGCAGGCCCAGCTGTGGACAGTCAATCTGCTCGCGCGGCACAAGATACCACGGGCTCTCGTCCCTGAAGATGAAATGCATTACCGCCTCCACCCTCTCCCAGGTGCCAGGATCAATTATGGCGTCGACCACGAAAGCTATGCCTATCAACTAGCAATGGACATGGACTCGGCCCCAGGCCTCACGGACATGCTCCGACTCCTTTCTTTCAACCTCAACTCGGGGCGTCTCCTCATCATCTGGGCATTGGGAGCACACTTCAACACCAAGTTTCGGCTGCAGGGTCCTTGGGAATGGCATGGAGCGCAAGAGCTGCTTGCTTCGGCAGAATTCTGGCAAACAATCACCCGGCGACCTCTGTTCTTTGGTGAGAAACTGCCCTTCCAAATACACGAGGACACTCGCTTACAGATACAGGCCATTTCGCAGTTTCGCTTCTTCCGATCCTCATATTTGGACCGATAAGTGGAATCGTTTTCCTGTACGCCATCATGCTGGACCTCGGAAGGCGATTGTATCAAGGCTGCAGGGCAGCTCTGGAGGAAGAGACGGGATTCATTAAGTCCCTGCACATAGAAATGGGCACCCCCCTGTTTTGGGCACCCAAGATGGGTGCCCAACCTAAACGGCTGCGTCAACTTCAACAGCAAATTTCACCGCGGAAACGCATCCAATCTGCTAAAAAATTGACGCATGTGTCTTCAAGCCACTACTGATGAAATATACAGAGTCTGACATTCACAGCGCCCTTGAGGCAATCGCCAATGGCGGATCCGCCAAGAAGGCTGCTCGCGATTGGGGCGTCCGAGGGCAACTCTTTACAATCGCATGCATGGTCACGAATGCAGAAAGGATGCATTTTCTGCTCTTCAGAGGCTTTCTCAGACACAGGAAAAGCAACTTACCGAATGGATTCTCATTCAGGACGCCTTGGGCCTTCCTCCCACTCACTCGCAGATCAGGCAGTTCGCGCAGCGCATGCTCGCCGTCAAAGGAGACCACACACCGCTCGGAAAACACTGGATGCAAGCATTTTTAAGACGAAATCCTGCAGTTCGGACCCAGAAGTGCCATCACAGAGACTCTGCGCGTGTCAACGGCGCTTCTACCGAGGTAATTCGGCCTTGGTTCAACAATTTCTTCCTTCCGAGATTCTGGCTATTAAGCCGGAGAACAGGTACAACATGGATGAAGCAGGCATCATGGAAGGACTTGGGGAGAATGGCCTGGTCGTTGGCAGTGCTGAAAAACGATCTGTACAAAAGAAGACGCCTGGTTCTCGGGTCTGGACGTCGTTCATCGAGTGCGTGTCCGCTGCCGGCACCTTCCTCCCTCCACCCGTCATTTTCAAGGGCAAATCGGTCCAGCAACAGTGGTTCCCAGAAGATCTCAGTACTTTTAGTGACTGGCAATTCACTGCGACAAAGAACGGCTGGACTTCGGACCAAACTGCGGTGGAGTGGCTCGAAAAAGGGTTCATTCCCAAGAACCCACCCACCCGACCCTTCGGAGCGAAGACTGCTAGTATTGACGGCCACGGAAGTCACGAGACGGTTGACTTCATGTATCTATGCTACCAGCATCAGATTCACCTTCTTTTCTTACCTCCCCATACCTCTCATGTGCTGCAACCGCTCGATTTGTCTGTCTTCTCCGCTCTTAAGCACTACTACCGCAAACAGGTCGGATTTCTCAGCCTCCTGACCGATTCAAGCCCAGTCGGCAAGCAAAACTTTCTTTCCTGCTACCAGAAAGCACGCGAGCAAGCGCTCACTGTGTCAAACATCAAGGGTGGCTGGAAAGCGACGGGTTTGTGGCCGGTGTCGATGGCGAAGCCACTTTTGAGCCCTCTTCTGCTGGAGAACAGCAACAGACGCAAAAGAACGCGAAAAATGTGGCCAATGCATTCAATAGCCACTTACCCACCAGTGACTGGCAATCAGACACATCCCAGATTGCGTGGTCGACCCCGAGGCGCTCGCAAGATCTGAAGGTTCAGGTAGTTCAATTCAACCAGCTAGACGACGACGTGCCCACGAAGAGATTGCTGTTCAGGAAGATCACAAAAGGGTTTGACGAGAAGGATGGCCTTTTAGCAAAAGCTCAATTGCAGATTCAGGCACTGGAAACACAATTGGCGGCCGTCAAGCCGAAAAAGGAAGAGGGTGGTCACGAGCCCGAATTCGAGGTTCGCCAATATTGAGGCAATACGACGGGCGCAGGAGGAGGTGAACGCAGCTGAGAATGAAGAATCTGATGAAACCGAAGCTGAGGTTTCAGAAATAGGTGACGATTGTATCGTAGTGCACGGTGGTGGGCAGTGAGAAGGGATTGAATTAATGGTGTTGAAAATGGTCGTGATTTTTTGGGGTGCCCAAAACAGGGGGGTGCCCATTTCTATGTGCAGGGACTTACTTCAATTTCCGTCAGCCTCCCCGCAGTGCGGGTGAAAGCTGACGACAGTTTGATGATTGCTTTGCAAGCGTGTCCTGTTGGGTCTAATAGGAAGCAATGAGTAGGAGGTAAGCAGTGAATAACCGACTTTGTAACAGTAGATATCTTGTGTAAAATATTATTGGTATAAATTCAGAGTATTACTACTTGCACGGCCACTTTTCTCACGACGCCCAACGTTGACGCCTCTACTGCGCATCTCACCTCTACCTATAAGATCTAAAGGCGCAAAAGCTACTTAGGTAAGGTATCTCGATTCCGCTACCTAAAGATCGTGTCTTCAGGTTGTAGATTTAATTCTAGGGTATAACTTTACCTATCGTTACTGTCAAGCTGGTAAAATACCGCTACACCATGCAAAATGAGGGCACCCCCGATAGAGGTGTTACTAACGCGTATTATAGGCCTTTTCTTGTCCTGACACACCCCCTAGGTTGATGGCTGCATCTTCTATGGAGCCAGCAAGTTACCCGTAAGACCAATAGGGCCTTGTCTGGCAAATAGATAGGATTTCCTGTGTAGTTGAGGAGGCATAGGCAACCCCCCTGACCCTTTGGATTTAGGCTGTCAGCTACCCGCAGCGCATCATAACCACCCTAGGAGTCGAACAATAGACCAACCAGCTAGCGCAGCTTCCGGAATAGGTTTTCAACCCTCGCTAATTCGCCTAGCGGGGACCCGCAACCGGGCTTATAACTATCAAGCTAGTAAAATACCGCTACACCATGCAAAATAAGGGCACCCCCGATAGAGGTATTACTAACGCGTATTATAGGCCCTTTCTTATCCTAATAACTCTTAAGTAGGGGCTTAAGAGCATAGTAGAAGAAATAAGGGCATAGAAAGGTAAATTTAGTAATATATATCTTTATTTATCTATTAGGATAAGGGAGGGGCTTATATAGGTATAGTAACTATATATAGCTAGCTAAAAGAGGGTATTAAGATATTCCTATACCTAAGTTAGGCCTATATAATATCCTTAGGCTAGGGGAGTTATATTAGTTAAGCAGGCTTCTTTATATATAACTATTAGGTCTACTAGGTATAACTATAGCCTCTTATACTTACTCTCTCTCCTTAATATACCCCCTTACTACCCTAGCTTTTAGATAGTAGGGTAATAAGTAGAGGAGCGTTTAGTCTAATAAAAATAAGTTTAAGCGCTATAGTATTATACTATTTAAGGGGTGGTCTAGTAATAGCTTTACTTCTTAGTAGTAAATAAGGCTAACTTCTACCCCCTAGATCTTTATAGTTTCTAAACTAAATTAAGATCTAACTACGCCGTTAAAATCCCTTAATCTTAGTATATATAGTAATGCTCTTATTATCGGGATCTAGTAATTATCGAGCTCGCTATAGTAAGGAGATATTACGCCTTAATACGGTAGTTAGGTATATTATCTCTTAATATATCTTCCGGCCGTATTACTAGTCTTAGTTACTTAATAAAGCTCTAATACTTTTAGTATATAAGCGCCTTTATTATACTATTAGCTAGGTTATTTATTAATACGATCTAGCTAACTTATATTTAATCTTACTATACCTCTTAATAAAGCTAGTATCTATAAACGTTAACGTACTTAAGGTTTATCTTAAGCTTCGCGCTTAATTTAGTTAGAAGCTTAATAGCCTAAAGGTTATTATACTAGAGCTCTATAGTTCCTTTAATACTAATACTAAGCTCCTTAATTAGCCGGCTAAATACTACTTATTCTTTAGCTATCTATAAAAGTGCTAATAATTTAGCTTTTATAAAGGATATTATTATAGTAGCTTACTTAATAGCTTTTTAGTTAATTAGCCTACTAAGAAATAAGAATATATATCCTTATAAGGACTTCTTAGTCTTTAGGTTATTAGTATATAAGGAGTTAGATATATATATTAGCCGCCTTATTAGGTTTATTGCTATAAAGTAGATATAGCGGTCTCTTATATAATAAAGGTAAGCTAGGCACTTATATGCTTTATACCTATAGCGCGGCCTAGGGTTATAATTATATTAGGCTAGCTTTCTAGCTATAAATACGATATCTAGCTTAGTATAAATTACTAGATAAATAAGCGACTTAATTAAGGAGATATATTTATATATCTCTTCCTTTAAGGCTTACTTTTTATAAGGGACGAGCTCTTTTATTATTAGTAGGATCCTAAGCTAATAAAGGATATTATTATTAAGGATATAATATTTCTTTATAGTCTTAGAGATATAAGAAGCTTATAAGAGCTATATCTTCTTAAGATCCTTATCCTTAATAATCTCGATACTAAGGAACTAGCGTAGCTCTCTTATATATATAATAGTATATTTCTTTATAATAGCCTTATATAGCTCCTTTTAATCTTATTTTTACCTTTTAAGATATATTATAACGGTATTATCTATAAAGATAAAGATAATAACGCCCTTATAGACTAGTATATAGGCGTCTTTTACTAGCTACTAAGCTCTTAGTTTAGTAAAGAAACTAGATATCTTTTTAAACTATAGCTTTAGGTAGATATAGAGCCTATATAGTGCTTTTAATAGCTTTAGGTATAGCCTAGGTATTAAGAATCCTAGTAGAGGCTAATAATAGACTTCTTAGCGTAGGATTATATATAGAAATACTATTTTTATATTATATTATTTTATCTTAAAGTCCTTAAGGTAGTAAAAGGCTATTAGTAGTTAAAATATTTATACTTATAGTATAGCTATATATATATCCTTATTACCTTTAGGTTATAGGTCTCTATAAACTATAATATATACTTTAAAGTATATAATATACCCTTATTTATCGGTCTTATATATAAAGACCTAACGTAAGGGGATTAGGAAGTAACCTTTCTATTTAATAATAGCTTTTAAGATAGTCTTTTATATACCCCTTACTAGGTTTTCCTTTATTTCGCGGTCTATAGCTTCCTTTTATTTATATATAAATTCTAAAGCTATTACTACGTTAAAAAGGTAGGGGGGGGCGGTATATCTTTAATATAAAGCTTATACTTACTTACTTTTATAATAATATTATTAATAAGGGATCTCTTAGGCCTATAAGCTCGTTTTCCTTTAATAACGTAACTTAAGTTAATCCCTTATAATATATCTTTTTATCTACGTTATTCTTATATTTATATTATCTTTAAGCTAGCCCTACTAACTACTAGGTTAAGGGTATAAGGTTTAGACTAAGGGTTATCTTCTTAAACCTATACTATAATTATTCCTTTACCCCCTAGGTTAAGAGGTATATTATTACGTTCGTCTTAAGGAGATAAGTCGTTTAATATAGGTATCGCGTCTTTAAGCTATCTCCCTAATAAGATATAAGAAGGGTTACTAGCTATAGTATCTATTAAAGCGTAGGAGGTATAGAACTTAGTAACTCTATATTAAATATAGTATTAAATAGAAGGGGTAATATTAAAATCTCTATCCTTAGGCCTACTATTTCTAAAAGGGAAAGATATATATATCTATATAATCCCTATAAGAGCGTCTTTAATCCTTAATCTTTTAGAGTATATAAGGGCAATAGGTCTTATAAGAAGGTAATTACTTCTTTTAGCGTCTAACCGTTATATAAGGGAACACGTATCACGGTACGATTAGTTAGGTAGTAGAGATAGCTAGAGGTACTGCGCTATATATATTATATTCTCCTTATCGTAAGACTAAAGCTTGCTAGAAGAGGGATTTCTCCTCTTTAGTCGGAGTAGCGAGAGGTCTATAATATACGAGCGGGGTAGGCACGATTCCCTACCGATACCCTACCGACATATTAGTACTACGTACCCGAGTACTTTATTAGCCTATACCTCTTAGTAGCGCTCTTATATATTATCTATATTATTATTAAATAAACTTAGTACCTTAAAGGTTTTAGGTTCCTTACTATCTATAACGTTAGTTATAGCTATATCTCTAAGGATATTATAGCTATATATTTAGACTAGCTAGGCTTACTCTTTTCTTTTTATATTATAGCTTATAGACTTATTAAACTATATATTAGCTAATACTATTAGTTTAATTTATCTAATTAACGGTATATATATAATATATTATTAAGTAGACCTATAGCCTACTAAGTAGCTAATATAAGCTCTTTACTTAAGTAGTAACTATATCTTATATAACTTAATATATTTTAATACTATAATTATTATTAAGAACGCTATATAGCTAAAGATCCTTAAATATATAATATCTAGTTTAATATCTTTAATATAGTAATATAGTAGATTATTTTCTTTTATCTAGGTCTATTAATACTTATATAGGCTCTACTAGCTATAATTATATAATTCGAAGGGTATTATATTAAGTAGGTATACCGCTATATAGTATATCTTTAGCTATAGCTCTTTTAAAAGTTTTAAGTTAAGTCTTATAACCCTTACTTTTTCCTTTATTATTACCTTTAATCTCTTTATATAACTATTTTATATAGGCGTTAAAGGGGCTAACTATATAACTTATATCCCTTTATTAGTTATATAATCTATTTATTCTATTATTAAAAGAGCCCTTTCCCCGTTAGTAACTAATATAATTATTTTAACTTTATACTAAGTCTTAAGTAACGCTATAAAGTTATTAAAGATATCCTTAATACCTATTTTTCTTTCTATTACGTAATTAATAGTATATATATTACGTTAGTAATAAGTCGGAGGTTATAAACTATAGACTATAACTAAGTAATTAGAATTAAAGATAGAATCGTAATAAAGATCTATATTAAA